GTTGCCCTGAGCTGGAAGGCGCTGAACTTGAGGACCAGGGCCACGAAGGCACTGCTTTAACCCATTGGGAAAAACGTCTGTTTGAGGTTGGTTTATCTTTTTTCCCCCCAGCTCGGGAAATGACGGGGAAATTCCGTGTTTAATTACCGTAGTTGCGTCGCGCAAGTCTTTTATATTATGACGAATGCCCTGAGAAAACTAGGGTGTGGTCTGTAGCTTTGTTACCCAGCCCGTGATTCGCGGCCAAGTTTTTTGCCGGTCAGCGTGAAGTTTTCTTTCAACATAATAAATTTATCCAAAGGAGCAATGAAGTATATTATCAAAATCTAAAATTTCGAAAAAAGACAATGGCATTTGAAATTATCTGATGAAGGATGAAAGTTGGCTTCCCTCCTAATAATGTCTCAGGCAAATTTTACCTCCTGAAATAAATTATTTTAATTTTTCGTTCTGAGAAACCTTTCTTCAAGCCCACCTTTCTAATTTTTTGAAGAATTGAATTGAATTGAACACCAAGCTTCATTTTCCGCTTTTCAGCGTTCACAAGGTTCAAACAATGTTCTCACGTCTAAAACCCCCACCCCACCCGCATTCATCCAAATACATTCTTCACATCAGAATAGAAAATTGAGAAACGAGCTGTGCATGGATATTAAAATAAAATAAAATACATCCCAAGAAGTTCAACCGCGCAACTGATTTAAATACATACACTTTCTTCCCTTCCCTGTTCACAAAAACAAAATATCAATTGAAAGAATTGCAGCTTAAAAATGTTGCTAAACCCAAATTAAAGCACAAGGTGTTCAACCTGCTCCCAGATAAAGTTTAGTTGATTAAACAATTTTGTGAGAATCTTTGATGAGAAATCATATAAGATTAACAGATTATCTTGGACCTCTTAAGATTTTGGAAGTAGTCCAGTAGTAGCTTCAGTGGAAGACATTCCACTAAAGCAGCTTTTTTGGTTCTTGACTTTTTTTTGTTGAAAAAGCACACATTTTTTCAAATACCTGCCATAAAGTCTTTCAAACAAAACCTTTTGAGTCTGCACAAATCTTATGAAACTTTCCTGGTTCGCAAAAATGTTTTGGGGAAATTTTCCAGTCTGCGGGCCCAAAAAGGTTTGGGATAACGTTTTCCCATAGACTTACATGGTAACATATTCTATCTTTCCTCATGTTTGGCATACAATTGGGAAAAGTCCTTCAAAAATTCAATAAGAATGTTTTTCTCACCAAGGACGCAGGAATTAACTGTGCAGAAGAAAACGTTGCAGAATCTGTCCTTTCAGCATGAAAACGAGTCCGAAAGGAAAATAAAGCAAGCGCACATATTGCCATCATTTCCATAATTTATGGAAAAGATCAACGAAACAATTATTTCTACCCAGAAAAATTCCGGAGCCACGGAGAAAAAGTTTGAATATGTTATTCTTTGTCCGTTAGCAGTTTTTATGCTTTTTTTTGTGTGCCAGGAATACTTTGTAAAGTGAACTACGTAAATGAACCAGACGGTCAGGAGTCTCAGGACATTCTTCTGGCACTCGGACGTCGCTTACAAAATAATTTAATCCTGTTTTCAATTGAGCGGATTTGAATGACACATTTTTCACGATTCCACCGTGAGTTGCTGAAAAAGGACAGTTATTTGTCATCCAACCAACTGCGATTATGATTTGTCCTCCGTGTGATTCGCAAGACTCGAGTGAAATGACTCATACGCCATCTCGTGCCGCAAGTGTCTTGTCGTTATTTCTCTGCATTATTTAAAATTCCGAACCACGCTAAGAAATTCCCACGGTTAGCTGTCCTAAAATGACCGTTGTATCTGAGTATTTCTCACAATTTGTTTCTCGAATTTTTATCCTGGCCGTGATTGTCACGCTATTTTCTGCAGAGAGCTTTAACTCAGTTTTTATGCTTGAATGCCATCGATGTAAACCTCAGAAGGTTTTGTGGTGTAGCGTAGTACGATGCTTGGAACGAAACGACGAAAGGCGATTTCGAGTCTTGGATAGAAAGTGCTGAAACATTTCCGAAGTTTACGAACTCCACAACGTTATGGAAAGATGAAGTGTATGAACTGTTGGATCTGTTTATTAATGCTGCTCTAACCTGGAATATGTTCAAAATTTAACTATACCGTATTTGTGTGTGTGTAAAGAAAAGATTTTGCAATGAAAATGTCTAACCTCGTAATGCCATAACCGACGTATTTGATTTTGCTGACAAATTGTTCTAGTGGGGATGTATGTTACTGGAAGGTAAAATCGAATTTTATTTAATGCAGAATCATTTCAAGTTCGTATACACACAGTGTATTAATTTACAAAAAATGTAATACTCATAAGCCAAGATCAATTTTACAGAAAGTTTTAGTTCAAAAAGAAGTCCAGGTTTGGAAATAAAAAGTTGAAGAATTGTTCGGGTGTTGATTAAAGTTAAATTAAACAAAGTGTTTGACGTGGATATCAAGCAGAGGAAAAAGGCTTACTTTTCCAGATTTATGATTTTCAGTGTTCTCCATGAACGATGGTTCAAAAGTTTAATCGGAATTTTGAAATATTTCGAGTACCTGAGCTTTTTGTCCTAAATCATCTTGAGGAATTTTAGGTAAATTCAGATATTTGAAGCAAGTCTTCGTCCCTTTTGATGAGGATTTTCTTCAATCACTCCCCTAACCAAGTTTTCACTCCATTAGTTGACATCTGAAAGCCAAAAACATCTAACGTGACCGGAACAGAAATTCCCGTGATCACCTAGTACTCATGTTCATCATGATGTGATTTTTCAAACTGGGACATTGAAAAAAATAATTTTAATTCCTTATTTACAATATTAGGTAGTGCTTGGACTGCGTCAAAATTTCGAATGCCGTCAAATGTGGCTGGTAAAATTTTAGCGAAAGAATCGACTCTTTTTTTCTGCTGTCGATTTAAAAATGGTCTAATGTTCCATTTAAAAAAATGTGTTCATCCATGAAGACGAATTGAAAGCTGGAAACAAAAATTATGATCCAACTCAATAATTGAGGGATTAAATTAGGAGGGATCGCGGAGAAATGTGACGTGTTTTTTGTGGGATTCATATCCGCGTATCCGTTGAAAAGATTTTTCCCCGGATTTTGTGCCGCGAAATTAATTGAAGCCTCGCATTTGAATTTTCAATTTCAGAATGAAGCCATGACGGGGACCCACACTCAGAACCCGGTGTATTCGAGAATAACTCTTGCCCTACTCGAAGACACTGGTTGGTATCTTCCGAATTATGAGATGGCTCAGCCGTTGTCTTGGGGTCGTGGGCTCGGCTGTGAATTTGCCATGAGGTCTTGCAAGGATTGGATGGATTCTCGGTCCTTGCAGTGAGTACGGTGCTTGCTCATTTCCTGTCAGAAATGAAATTTCCACCTAACAAGATTAATGGCTTTCTGATCCTTTCAATCAAAAAATTTATTGTCTCTAGGAAATTGCGAAGATGGACAAATACCATTTGTCCATAATGGGGGGTAATACTCAAGTTTTCCCGCAATTTGATCGTCATTTCATTCAGAGAATAACGAATGTGATTTTTTCTGGAAACAGAAGATGGCTTCATTTGAGCACACACTTCTACAAATTTTTCAATGACAAAAAATATCTATCTAAAATATGTTAAAAATAATGCTGAATTTTTATGCGTTTTGGTCCGAATTTTCGGGAAGGAAACGGATAAAATAATCATCCTGGGAACAATAAAAGGCTTTATTGGATTCATTTCTCTTCAATTTTGATACTGTTCGGCAAGTTTTCAAGAAGATGAATCTTCTACAAAATCTTTTTTGCGACTGTTATTTTCTCCGCACTCAGCTTTTAAAAAAAAGCGATCGAAATTTTTTCACGTCAACAGGTTGTGGATAGATTAGTTGAACGCGTGACTATTGGTCTTGAAATTATTTTTATTAATTACCATTATTATTTTTTAATTGCCTGCCCGACTGCGGAAACTTTATGACTCTCCCTCGAATTACGCGTGAATATGTGGATAGATTAGTTGAACGCGTGACTATTGGTCTTGAAATTATTTTTATTAATTACCATTATTATTTTTTAATTGCCTGCCCGACTGCGGAAACTTTATGACTCTCCCTCGAATTACGCGTGAATCGTGAAGAGGAAGCTGCCGTCATTGTTGTGCACAAATCAATTTGTTCGTGTTCCGTCGAGGTTGACTTTTCAATTTGATCGATTTTTTTTTTAAATCTTTGAATCTTCAGGGGATTGTCCATCCATCCATTTTGCAATAAAGTCAAGTTGGATCCTTTGCAAACTGAATGCACAGAAGACCGCGCCTCCGTGGCCTTGTGTAATCTTGTGGAACATGGTTCCGACTTGCCTGCGCAATACAAGAATTTTTTGCGGATTCCGAACGTGGCGGATTCCGAGGTTGGCCGTTTCGGGGGATCCGTTGTTCTCGCCGATTACTGCCCGTATATTCAAGAATTCACGTGGAAGTCGCAAAACAAGTTTGTGCGTGGCTCGCACTGCCTGTATGAAGACAACAATCCTGGTTTGTAACCCCCCCCCCCCCCCCCTTTCTTTGTAGTTTTGGAGTCTTCTCAATCATGGTGTATGTTGGAATGTTGTATTGTACATAACTTTTATACGTATTTTCCCTTACATCTTAACCTCTTATCACATGTAACTTTCAGTGACGAACCTCTCCTAGGCGAGCTTAATTGGATCAGCAAAAAAATTCGCGTTAGTGATTTTGATTTGGGGTGACTAGCATTTTTTGTTGGGAGAAAAAAAATATCCTGGGCCTCGATGAGTTGGCAAGATGGAGGTAAGGGTTTATTGTCTATCACTTCATTTAAAGAAAAAACATGAAGTTACACTTTCAATTGCTTTTCTGTTTCTTTTGTCAATAAAATAGTAGCCAAAATGTCTAAAAAGAATTCGAGTTATGTAGATTTCAAAGGGAAAGCTAGGGAGGTTTTTTAATGTAATGTTTCCATGGGAATCCAGGCAGGGACTTTAAAAAAGATTTGACTTGAGAAAGGTTTGATTTATCAAGGTTCAAGTGTAGCTTGAAGAAAATCGAAAAAAAATGCGAACGGCTCATCAATTTGACATGTTGAAGGATGAAGTAGAAACAGAAATACTGACCTTTTTGCTACCTCATAAAAGCAATCAAGCAGAAAATATTAAAATATGAAATTTGAATCCTTTTTCCTAGTTTGAATCTTTTCTTGCTATTCGAAGCTTTTCATAAATTGAGTGGATATTTTACTCGTTACTGTGCTTGTTCAGGTATTTTTCTTGGAAATACTGTAGTGAATGTGATGGGTTCCTCAAATGTTTTACATTGTTGAAAAAATGGGTTTTCTTCATTAGAGATCATGAAAACGGTGAGGTTATCTTCGTTTCCTCTCTTGATTTGGGAAAATCTGATTTGTAAATTAGGAAAGCACATTAGTGCACAGTAATTTGAGGAAGGGTTGTGGTAATCCAATATTTCAATTTTGCTAGAAGCTAAAGCGTCAATGGTTCGTAAATATTCTTTCATTAAGTCGTTAGTTGGACAGTCCTTTTTTTTCTTGTTGAATTTGAACTTGAGTTATCGTCCTTCCTGGTTTTTGTCATTGAATCATTTCCCGTGGATATTGTTCACAAAACTTGACGTTAATTAATCCAGATGTCTGTAGGTCATTTGTGTGTCTAAATTCAGTCTGGGAAAGGTTGCTTGGGAGCCCAATTTAATGTTCCGGGTACTGACGATTGTCGTTACTGACGTTACTTTTGATTTGTTCCCCCGTAGTCCTTGAAAGGTCACCGTCAAGCGTAACAATTTTCCGTTATTCCAGTTCTTGTTGTTCCTGATGTCTATCTAACTTGGGACATGTCGAGCGTTAATGTTCGGTGAAACGTGTACTAACGATGGTTCCTCAGATCCCCGATTATACGATTCGATATTTAATGACTCAAGGACGTTCCGGTTTCTGAATTTTGCGGATTATTGTATGAAGCATGGTATTCCACATGGAATACCATCATGATCATGGTGCGTTCCTCGCAAATTTACAGTCGAACCTCCCTAATTCGAATACCTCGATGTGTCAAAATTTTTTTAAAGTCCCTAACTGAATTCCCTAAGAAAGAATGCATTAAAAACCTCCCTATCTCGAAGGCTTCTCCTCCAAAACCTCCATAAGTCAAATTGTTTTAGGCTTTTTGGTTATGGTTTTATTGAAATAGGAAAGAAAATAATAATAAAAAATCACATTTGATGTGCTTTGAAAGGATGTGACAGACTAAATTGAGCAAATGAACCCCTGTCTCCAACTTCAGCCCCCTGTTAACTTATTTTAGAAGCAATTTAAGGCCAAGAATATCACCATGTAAGATTTAGCGCAATTTTTCAATGTTTCCCGCAATAAAAATGCTTGATCCCGTAAGTCGAACATTTATAAACCAAAACCTCCCTAAGTCAAATTATTTTGCTGGTCCCATGAAATTTGACTTAGAGAAGTTCAACTGTATATAGATAAACCTCCACCCTTCTGCAGTAATTATGGGAATTGGTTTTTTTTTCTCGTTGAGGGAAAATTGAGTAGTTTGTGTTGAAGATTTTAAAAAATTTGTCAGTCCGTTGTTATCCATTCTTGATAGCATTTCAGAACTTATCAAAGTTGGACGTGATTGGATAATTTCTGTGGAATGATCAGCTATCTCATGGTCTTCAGTGTGAATTTTTTTCTGAACAATGGTTTGGAAATTTTTATAAAGCATTTTTGATTCAATTGCAGTAAAATCTCGTTACAACAAGCGTTTGGGGACTTCAGAAGAAATTTTTTTGTAGTGAACAATTCATTGTTGGGAGATTTTCATTATTAATGACAGGAAAAATTTTCCAAATGAAACCTGTTTATAATCGAATAAATTTTGGTTTTCTGGTATTATGAGACTTGTTTTGTCAAAATGGTTGTGTCAAATAATCAACATGGCAATGAAGGAAATACTGTACATAAAAATAAAAACAAATACCCATAAATAAATAATAAACATAAATAAATTGACTACCAATAGCCTGACATTAACATTTATGTTATTATGTCAGAAAGGCAAGCGGTTGCACCCCTTGCATGTCTGGTAAAACTAGAAACGACCCGTTTTATTTGTAAACGCTGATAAACTTGTGAAACGTTGAGTGGACCTGAGAGGTTCCGCTGTTATTTTTTTTAATGCTTCACCATGGAAAAATGCATCGGGGAAGGCTTGAAGATAAGGGGGAATAAATCTTAAGAAATTGTGCGATTTGATTCAGTTTTTTTTACTGCAATTTCCCCGGGTTAGAGATGCAGACGATACATGTCCAGAAGTGTTCGAAAGCAAGGTCTGACGTTGATGTGAAAATAATTTTCGCCGAAATTTCAAGTTTACTTCCTTCGTAGTGAAGTTTGACCGCAAAATGGCGCGGGGCTTTGAATTTCGCAATTGCATTCGCCTTCCGTCATTTCAGGTTGACTGGGCACCCGAGGGCGACGCACTAACTTTTATTTCAAAAAAAAGAAAGAAAAGAGGAACAGCGCACAGAATATTCAAGTTGCTTATTGGATGAATGTAACTTCTCGAATTTGCGAGGCGTCGCTGCAATTGTGAAAATTTAGATATATTTTTTTTCTCATGCGTACTACAGTAATGTGAACTTCTTTTACTGCAGTGGAAGATTTGAACTTCGCCTTGGAAGAATATGGAGAGAACTCGAAGTGTTTCGAGCATCCGGAAAACCGACGCTGGGTGGAGAAGACTTGCGCGCTGAAACGGCACTGGGAACACTGGGGATCTGGCTGCTATCAGTATTTATGCTTTGATGGACGACTTCATGTGATGGTTTGTCATCAGCTCCTTGACGCAAATCGAATTTGTCAATATTTCCTTGGGAAAGGTTTTGGTCGTAATTTTAAACTTTTCATCAATGGCATGTCTTATATTGTACAGTACTTTAATGTAAAGAACCAGTGAATTCAAGTACGAAGCGCACCTTTTCCCTCTAAATTTTGAAAAGTGTGAGATTAAATTTTTCCTTTGACTATGTCGTATCATTTTCCATAAAAATATTATTTTATGGATTCACATTGACCTTTTAGAGCCGAAACTTTTACATGTGTATCTTCGTTAGTAACTACTCAAATATATATTTTATTGCATACAGTATCGATGGTGCATTTCTTTGCAATGAGTGCTTTTAAAGTAAATACTGTACCTGCCGATATTTTCAACGTTTTTGGCTATGATCCTCATAACTCCGTTCATTTTTGCAGGTCAAGAATCACACGTTCACATGTTACTATCCGGGACAGCTGATCAGCATCAGTTTATTTGCAAATGGATGGTTGCACGAGGGAGCGATCGTGTGTCCCAAGTGCGAAGATCTCTGTACAGTAAGTTGGCCATGCGCTGCCAAGAGTGGACCAGAAAGTTTTGGACACATCTTCCCCGCATTTTCTCAAAAACTGTGAATGTTGGAATACTACTCAACTCCAATCAATCATTTTGATTTTCTAGCCGAATAACAAATTGACCTTTTGTATTCACAGTGATCCAAGAAATTGTACGTGTTTCTTCTTTGGCTTAATTTGGTAAAAAAAAAAAAAGGATTCTTTTGCAGCAAACACCCGTTTTGTGATCAAGAACTATAAAGTGTCTTATAAGTGAATAAACTTACTGTGAGGGATCTGAAGGTCAATAAAATTCATTTTTTATGTAAGCCTAAATTCAGCACGGCAACAATCTCAGTTTTTCCGATGCCCGATTTGATAAACTTTGCTCCACACTGGGTAATTTTTATGAAGGTATATATGTTACAAATGAGCGTACCAACCGTTACCGCAAGTAAAGTATGAAGAAAATATAATTCGTGAGTAAATTAAGTTGAACTAACTTGGTCTCTCAATTTTGTAATTTTTTCTGTAAATATTGATGTTTGAAAAATGGTTCAAAATTTTCTTGCTCGCCATTGTCGACCCTTTTTAACAGCATCTGTTTCTTGCAGACTTATCGAATGAAGTGTCTCGCGCCCAGAACCGTCCCAAGGCAAGTAACATATCACAGAGACGCCCTCGAATGTTCTGCTTCCCAAATTTCGGCTCTGGCGGCGTTTTTGGCCGCCCTTCTGGGTTTCTTTACTACGACCGCCATCACTTCCTTGTTGATGCTTCCCGCGATTAACGGATTTGGATGACTGCGAAAATTTCGAGGTAGCTGAATTTTTGTTACATAAGCAACTAAGCGTGAAGTGTATAAAACAAATCGGAACCAAGTCTGTCGTTGTAAATCGTGATCAGTGTGACTGCGGACTTGTTGTTGGCCTGGTGGATTTTTTTTTTGTTTGGATCGGGAAACGATTTTTTTCAGCTCTTTTATAATGTGGAAATTGCTTTTGCAGTTTTATTTTTTCTGTTGTTGCATACACGATGGGAAGTGAATTTTGCTTATTCATGCGCGCGTTGCATTGGGGTCGAGGTCAGTTGGACTCGGTGATGTCGAATTTGAAACGAAAAAAGTATGACAGGGTCTCTGTCATTCGTCGCCAACTGACCTCGCTGGTCAAATGAGCCATAACGCGCTTTATCGGCCCCGTTGTGCCCAGTTGATACGAAGACGTCTGTGATAGATGTCGGTGTTGACATCGTCGCGTATTTAGAGAACTGTTGGAGAACCTTATATCTTCACATAACTAGATGTGCTGATACAACCCGACTCCGATTACATTAATTGGCCCTCAGCGATGATGTTGAATGGATTTCCATTCTCGTCTGTCCGGCTATTATTTTTATTTTTAAAGTTATACCAGTCAGGCACTTGTCATTCAAAGTGGCGCCGAAATTATGAAGATCGAACTTTTTGAAACAAGGGTCAAGGATTTTTCTTCGATTAATAAAATGAACAAGTTTCGCTGCACGAGTTTATTTTGCATCCATTTTTTATGGTTGAAATTGTCGCAAGGAAGGCCTTGATTTGTATTCGCACTCATTTGTATTCGCTCTTAAGCTGTTGACATTTTTTGCGACCATTTTCATCCGGAACTTATGTTGGAATAGTTGGATGATCAATAGTTTCGATTGGGATGAAAGCTTGTGGAATTACTTCAGTTATATTTGTAAATATTCCGAAGATTGCTTACGATCAAAAACCCTTGCGATTAGCCAGCTCTATGCTCGTTATATAACAAATATTATTCTCACTTATTTGAACAAGGGAAAATTCATCTAGTACCAACTCCTGACAAAATATTTTAAAACTTTATTTAATTCTCATTTCAGGAGTTCCTAAAGCTGCATAATTTTCTGTGCTATATCAGACGGAATCTTGTTACCAGTACAAAATACTTAAAATCCAGATCACCTGTTGTCTCTTCATTATTCTAGCTCCGTTGTCAGGTAACATACACAGGAATGACTATTAGGCAGAAAAACGCTACAGATGGATTTAGTGAAGTGGAGAATGAAAAGCACATGCCACCGAACACCGCTTTCTTCAGCACATGAAGGTGAAAAAAAAAAACCCTGAACGATCTGATTTCTCCAAACATAGAAGACACTTCGCTGCTGCACCTATGGCCAGGCGTTCTCAACAAATCCCACGGAGACTGATTGATTGCCAACAACAAACGGACATCACCAAATCGCCCTCAACCCTCGTACCACCAAGCACACCAAATGAAAGGTTTCCTTTTAAAGCTCGTGGGAACGACCGCGCTACGAAAAAATATAACGTCTTTATATGCATATGCAGCGCGCGAAGACTGCGCAGACAACGTATGGCACTTCTCGGCCTTTCTTCAGAACCACGATGCGACGTCATCGACTGATAGTCAAACACTTACATTTATCATTAAAGCCGTGTATTGAAAATATTCTGGTTTTCAGAATGCGCGTTCCAGAGAAAATCGCTCAATTCTCGATAACCGGAAACATGAAGTCAAGAAAACGAACCTTGGTTTGCACACCGATAGAAATCAACGCGGGATATATAATCTTCTGGTAACCTCGACAAGAAAAATAAAACGAAATTCTGCGGTCGAAAGGACACAAATAAAACTGAACAGCGAACAAAGCTGATTTCTGACACATGAGCAACAACAACAAAATATTGACTAATGCCACAGTCAACGCCCTTTACACGTGACCCACAAACGATTTTCCGATTATTTCAAACGTTAAATTAAGAACTCGACTGGAAACGAACGAAGGAAAAACACTTCCCGGGTGGATTTGCACAACATCCGTTCCGTGTAACAAGACAACCAAGGACGTAGACTCCGTTCGAACATTCAACGTCAAATAAAAACTTCTCTTCATTTTCAACGCACAATTCTTCCCAAAGCTATACTGGATGACACGATAAACCAGGAGACACGCATTCCATAGACTGTTTCCAGCACGAAATAAATGCAATTACTTCAGAAACGCTTATCAGTTGCTAGCCTTGATTTCCGTTTCTCTCTTTGATTTCGCGAAAACTTCGAAACTACGCTAAAATTCTTAGTGCCCTTTCATACCGCGTTTCCCCGAAAATGAATCATATCTTCAAACAAGCATTTATAATAACGCGACTTTTTAAACGTGGCTTGTTTTCAACGCATGTTATTCTTAGGGGTATTCATTAAAAAAAATAATGCGGAGAGGCTCAATCTAATCTGAAATTATAGATTGTTGGTACCCCAAATCTCCGCATTTACCTGATGCCATACATTTCAAGGTGCTAATCCATGTTTTATCTTAAAAATTGAACATTGTTACGGTTAAGACACCATGCTAAAATTCATCCGCAAAAGAAAATTCCTTTAGATCTACTTGAGCTACCTATTTAGGGTACTTAGACATTTCCCAATATCAGGACTAAATTGTCTCTGCTCTTGTGCAAGATATAGTACTGAAGATTCGTTCAACAGGTTTTTAAAAAACTTTTTGATTTGAAGATTCTGTTGGTCAGGGCTAACCACGCCTTCACCAAAAATTTCAAGACTAATCAAATATATAAAGCGTCCTGAAATTTAAAAACCTATTTTGAGAACAAAAAGTTGGTTTTGTATCGAATTAATTACAATAGCATCCCACTCATGCCTATTCCATCTGAAAAAAAAAAATTAATTGAGATGGCGATTGGCTTACAAAACAAAATCATTCTATAACTATTCTTCACGAAAAGTTGCATCTTTGGGGAATCGCGGTAGAAAAAAAAATTTGAAAAATTCCAAAATTAAACCAGGTACAGTACTGCATGAAATGTAAGCTCTCAAAAGAAAAAAAACCAACATACTTGGCCAAGGACACGATTGACAACCCCAACACGCCATTTGACGTGGAAAAAAATTTTTGAAAAAAAAAACCGACCCCAGGCACAAAGCCAAAGTCAAAAGCTAAAGCTCGGGATGCCACGCATCAGTCTCCAAGAATCTCTTCTGAAGTAAACACGCTAGGTAGATCAGTACATCGGCGATGTTCACGCAATGGCAAAAACGGTTAAAATAATATTTCTGCTGCTTTGCCGTCGCGACTAGAAAGTCACTTGCTCTTCTCCTATCGAATATCCTCCACATTTTCTTGCTTTCTCTCTAGAAAAAAAAATCAAATTTCAGATAGTCGCCACACGGACAGAAATTCCGGCCATGGCCTCGGACGGGATTGAATAGAAAAATAAAAACACGCTGGATGCTACGCATTGCGCATTGTCAACTCGCACTGCCCTCACTCAGTGAAAACATCAAGGATCATCCCAGAAGCATCGTATGCCAGGTCAACAACACGGACTCGCCGAAGACAGGAATCTAATTTCGAATGCTGAAGACTATGAAGTTGCAACTCTAAAATGAACACTTCGCTTCACGTTCAACCTGCGTCACTCGCTGAATCCCTTCCTGAAGCCCTCATCAAGAGAATTGGCAAAAATCAAGTTATAAAAATGAACGGCAACTGAATCCTCATTCTGAACGCGGAAGACGTAGAAGTTGCAACGCTGAAATAAATACTTTGCTCCAAGTTCAACTAGCATCACTCGCTTACTTTTCTATCAAAGTCCTCCTCAGAGAATTTAAAAACGGCACCGTAAATAAAACTGATTGACGACAGATTACTCTTTTATCAATCCAGAAGACTAAACTGCAACTTTCAAAGCGAACACTAAGCTCTCAAGTTTTACGCGTCAGTCGCTAAGACATTTCCTCAAGTCCTCATTAGAGGTCCGAAAAAAGAAACTAAACAGAGACTGAATCCTCGTGGTAGTTAGAGAAGACTAAAAATGTTGAAACATTCAAAATAAATACTGTACTTCACTTCTACGTTTAACCATAGCCCATTTCTTCCGGAAGTTTGGTATCCCAAGACGAAAGCGAACAAAATCGTCATTCTGACGGCCGAAGATTTAGAAATTCCTGCATAACGACCTCCGTTAGTCGTTGACTCATTTCTTGCAGCCCTCATTAGAGAATTTAAAAAAAAAAAAAACCGAACAGTAAAAGAAACCGGCGACAACATCCGGAGTTCTCTCCTTTTTTGTTGAATTCCTGAAAGCCCACACACGAAAAAAATATGATCACACAGCTTCTGGAAGGACCCTTGAAGAGAAAAGCTGTCGTCACGTCGGCACAGCGTTGGGTGTGACGAAGGTGACGAGCGGCGGTCGACGATCTGGCGGCATGGAATCCGTGCTCGTGTTTTGTGCTCCGCCAGACCGATTTCGATACGAGGCGTACATGCCCGGTGCGGTTGCCGCCGTCGTCGAAACGGCGCCCTGGGCGGCGTTCGCGTTGCTGACCACCTTTCCCAAGTCGCGTGACGTCGGCGACTTGGCTCGAAGCCCACGACGCATGATCTTTCCCGTCGTGATGAGTCGACCAAATCCTTCCTGCAAATCGGAAAATTGAATCATCGCGCAAGAAAAAGTCATTGAAATTTCGGAAGATCGAAAACGCAAAATTTGCATCATTTCCAGGCAAAATCTGAAAAAATTTCTAAAATTTTAAAATAATTTCATGAAATTGCATAAATTACTCTTCAGATGATTTGATGAACCTTGGATTCATGAGCTCGACAAGAGCGTTCAACTGGAGAAATTTACAACACACTCACCAGATATCATCAATTCCTCTGATTTTAACTCATTTTGAATTCGAAGCCAGAAAATTTCAACCGTCTTGAACTTCTGAAAATAGTCTCGTAAACCATACTAAACAATAATATTTCATATTCCGCTGCTCGTCTTCCAATCCAATCTAAGTGCTTTTTCCTTCGCATTATACACTCCACAAAAAAAAAAAAAACCGAAATCGTCGGAATATCCTCTCAATGATTAATATGCGAAGCGGTAATTGAACTGTCAATATGTGATTTGTCGAACAACACGTACGAGGCATTTTTTACCGTTTTTTTTTAAATCGAACCTCAATGGAGAGTTATACATAATTACAGAACTAACCAGTACTGTAAAATTTTTTCGGCTCGGTTACCAATCAACCGGCTTTCGCAATCAACTCCCGATACGATTCGGCGAAATTGCAGAGAAAGTTATCATAACCAAACTTTCATGAGTCATGACGTTTCAGGGAAAGTACCAGAATACTCAATAGCCCAAATGCAAATCTTTCGAATTGAGAGGAACGTCGTTGGAAACATGACTATAATGCATGCAAAGTTCGCGTCTCAGAAAGGTATCTCAAATTTTCTGCATGGAGCTACGAACACCTTCATTAAATGAAAACGTTGATTAGAGTTTAGAGATACTGAACAATATTCTGAGGATTGACAAAACCACCTGACTTGGGACATAAACAAGATGTGCACCTTACTTAGCGGAAATGAGTATGGATAAACTTTTCATACGGCTACATTTGCTACAGCTAGAGTTTAAAGAAAACTGAATTTGAAAAAAAACTGTTAGAAAATCATTTCATGATCAATATGACTCCTTCGATTCAGACATGATTTCACGACCTCGTATCAAGTCTGTTCCACACATTTATCCGAAAAATAAACAGAAAAAATAAAGCGTCGTTCACATTTTCATTTTGACAATTTCCTTTGGTTTAGACTTTAGGCCGTGTTCTAAACGAATCTCCGATTTTAGGAGCAGTGCTCAACGCATTTCTTGTTATCGTCGACCACAACTGGTAATCATAAAATAACCTGTAGTCATATTAACGACCACAACACCCTTCACTTACTCTTCGCAATTATAGGCAGAATCAAGATTGCTATGATGAGGAACAGCGTGAACCAGAAGTTCGCATCACCCATAGCCTGAAAGAAATACGTGCGGATACCATTGAAAAATAGATGGACTTGGGAAAAAAACTTAGGACTTTAATAAACTACAACAGGAAAAATAACGTCTTCTCAGTTAACTCATTCATTCGATATTTTCAAGCGATTTTTCATGGCTTCCGATTTAATCCGCGACGAAAAATCGAAGTGGAGGTTCAGCTTCGATTGCTTAAAAAAAATTCATGGATGTATTTTCTTTAATCTATATACAGTGGAAACCAATTCCAAGTGGGTGAATAAGAGATTAAATTACGTTCGGAAAATACGGTCACCATCGATTATCATAAGCTCAAGATTGAGATATTCAATTGTGCTGAATAATGAAAGCGAAGGCAACTTTAAAAATACAATGTCAAGTGGGCGGATATTTCAAAATTTCCAAAAAATCACACATACAGACGCATAAGAACAGAAACACTAATCAGAACAAATACACTCATAAAATTATCTTCCACAGGACGTTCAATTTCAATACATTCGTGGGACTCAATAAGACTCCATTATCGGCGATTCATTATGATTTCAATCAAATCCAATCATTAAAAGGAAGGAATGCATTATGTAAAAAATTCGTAGGCGGTATTCAATTATCTGCGTTTGGGGTGGTCATTTCAACGAAATGATAGATTCCCTCCTCTAAAATTACAGTATATGTTTGAGTAATTATGTTACATGAGTCATAAAATCATCTATTCTCTGAGAGGTAAACACTTTTTTGCCGCTTTCAGTAATTGAAAAAAAAACCGAGCACTGCTCAAAAAATCTTAGGAGACATATTTCTTCTTTCATGAATTCTGAAATTCAATAAAATTACAGCACACATAAATGGAATCTAAAAAAGGCCCTTTGGACATTTTTATAATTTGTATCCACTATATTTGTAGATGTCAGCCCTACCGCGGAAACATTCGTAATGGCCTAGCCTAGTTGATGAACGTATGGACTCTAAAATTAAGATGGCAAAAGTTGACTTACTTTCTTCAACGATCCGATGTACGACGACCCGAAAATGTAATAATAGGCATAAGTCAGGGTGAAGTACCACAGTAACGACGCAAATAACGTGATGAAATTTATTATCGTCCAGTACGCGGTCTCCAGTGCCACCTACGAGAACAATACCCGAATTAAGCATTTATTCCAGAACAACCGCTTCAATTGAAAGTCATTCAAACAACAACTACTCACTTGTACGGTAACAACAATCACAAGTATCGTGGCAAGAACGGAACCGAAAAGCATGAGATCCGACGTCACGTGGCCTTCAGGAGCCAAAGCATCGTGATACGCACCTGAAATACGACAGAAAGCTTCGCATGTAATCCCGCATTATTTTTCACAACAAATCTACTCAAATTTAATTTTAAAAATTCAAAAGTCAACTCCGGATAATACGACGAACACTAACCATAGGTGATGAAAAAGAGCACAGACGACGTTATGACACCCAGCATGACGCTCTTGAAGAACTCGGCCTTGTTGAACAACAGGTTCTTGATTCCCGGCGTGTACAACTTCGGATACTTTACCGAATAGAAATCATTCACGTCTTGGTCGAACACAGCCAATGCAAGCACCGGCATCGACGTGTAGAACAAATTGTAGCAGGAAATGAAAAATGGATCATACACCGCCTTGAACAGAAGAAAACCAATGATCAATGCTAGGAACACAACAACAAAGAAACTATTGAATACGAGAGGGACAATTTTGAAATCGTTACCGATGCCTCACCTGAGCAGAGAACCCGCAGAAGAAAGCATACCAGAAATGGCACAGCGTGAAGGCAAAGTTCTTGTAGAAAAAGTACCGCAAAAATTTACACATCCGCAAGTAGGACCAGCGCCCGTGCACCAACAATAGCCGTTCGAGGAAACGGAACTGACATATACTGAAGTCAGACGACAGCGTTGCTTGCAACCCTTCTTGACCGCTTATACCCACGCCAATATGTGCCGCTGCAAGATTAAAACACATTTTATTTTATTCTTCGAGACTTAAAAAACCTCATACTAGATAGAAATTGGGTCATCATCAATACACCAGCCAAGTTTGCATCCTGCAATGATGGACAAGAGACACCTGATCCACTAAAGTAGCCGAAAAACCTTTTATGAAGGGCTGTAACCCAACCGAAACTAACCCGGCATAATTCACTTAATGTCCTAACGGAAATGAAGATATAGAAACGCTTCAAATTCAAATATGCAATCGCTACAAGAACCGAATAGCCGTGAACATTAAAATAAAATGTACAGAAACAGTTGATTTTTCAGCTTCGAAACGCAGCTCGTAAATGCACAACCTCCTGACATCCCGTCAGAAGGACAAGCAATGTTCACATAAATTCGTTTCGGAATATAAGAAATTTTATACATGGTATTTACATATTCCTTCAGAATAAAATTGCAGCATGAGCCTTTAGAAATCAATAAATTGTTCTGAAGTTTTTTCAACTTTGTGTAAGGTCAAAAATTGTAATTTCTTCAAACTGATTAAATAATTTTTCTGATTTTTTTTTACAAACGGTGGTTTTGCATTCCGAATAGAGTTCAACTTGATGATAAGACCCGAATACAATTGATACAAATCACTCAAGATTTGCCATTTTATACTAAAATAAATGCGTAGAAATTTCCGGAAACGATTCCTTCTCGGCAAAAAATTTCTGGAACTCACTCTTGATCATCGACACGTCGTTCGCTCCATCACCGATTGCCAACGTGACAGCCTTTTTGTACTTTTTGATCAAGTCAACAACCATAGCCTTCTGCAACGGTGTCACCCGACAGCAAATCACAGCTTTGCCTTCAAAATTAAAGTTTAAATATTCGTCAAATCTGATTTCGTGTGGTAAGAAAATAAAAACAGAACGAGCCCATACATCTCGTGGCTACATCGAGGAACATCCGCTCCATTCTCGAGTTCAACGCATGAACCAAGGAGTGGCCGTTTATGACCAGCGCGTAGCCGGGCGAGCCAACCGCTTCCTCCAACGTCTCCTCACTTTGCGATCGCTCACTGCTAACGAAAGGCGAAGAAAATCAGGCAACGCTTTTTTTTCACCGAGAAATCGTAACATCACACTTTTTTTTTGTTGGATGCAAGAGAAGAGGAAAACTACGCATAGTGAAATCCACGAGCGACTATACAACGCAGGAAATTTATTCGATGAAGTCATTCATGGCAAAATCGTCCAAAGAGATGCTACTGAAAGAATTCCATGTGGCACGAAAGGCCAGAAGATTTTACAGCGTGAGATCGAAAATTCTATTCCATACCCGACCTTGTTTTGTGAAATGTCACACAGGTGTCAGTTGAATCATAAGCCCTTACAGGATAATTAAAAAATAAAAAATCTCGACCCCTAGCCTGGTGCAGGGTCAAACGGTCAAGTGAAACCCAAGCCCTACTGAGCGTCATAACAACATAATGCGGTAGTACTCAACCGAGCGCCAAGTACTCAATTATTACTCAATTGAACTTACGCTAAATTGAGAGCCAATGAATGAAGCCTCAGGCTAATAAGTCGCATTTCCTAATTGTTTGTATCAAGAAAAAACAACAAACACCGGAAACGTGAATATTTCCTAGTGCATTTGAATGCAGTAAATCCTACAATTTTAATAAGACGTCATTTCAGAACTTTTTGGGAGCAAAAACACGCCATATTACAAAGAATTGCTGTTGCTGCTAAATGAAAACAGCAAGAAATTTAAGAAAGCTTAATTATTTTACAAAGCTAAAAGGTAACCTTGCGTCACTATACACAGGCAAAACAGTCCAAAATATCTTCAAAGACGCTCAAACGAGTGGGTACAGTTGGGTTGCGATCAGTCGGACGGTCACGTATTTTCCTCCAACTCTGACTGGCATGTTGATTTAAATAACTCATGAAGTATTTCTAAGAGTTTCTTCTCAACTCACGCTTTAACCTTTCTTCCGGTTCAAAGCGTGTGCAAGATTTTACATTGTTCCTCTTTGACACTTGACCTTTCTTTCTGGAATAACATGAAGATGTCGCCTGACCCCTGACCAAATAGAGTCGAACAAAGCGTGAACAAAAATTAAAAATAACTAATATACCTCATTTTAACCAATCGAAGGTCTGAAAAAAAAGAAAAATGTAGGCAAAATAGACTTACTAAAAATAGCACTGAAAATGACTGATTCCGGGACGAGCGTTCAAGTGGAAAGGATTCATTTTTAAATTTACTATTTTTTATCTGCATTAACACGAAGCCCACGAGGAAATGGAACGTCACATGAAAAGTATCCCTCGCATCGCTGATGAAGTACTAAATAAAAGTAATATATAAAACCGAACTTGGCTAAAATAAAGACTAGCCCAGTTTTGCGGTGAAAGTGAATTAATAAAGCATCCACATGATGAGACAGGAGGTCAATTAGCGTGTGGTGCAGGCGTGTGCAATTTATTAACTTATCCAACTTTATCTTTCCTTTTTTTTTTGCGGTGCGAGGAAGAGTGTAGACTCACGCCGAGGAACAAGGTACAGGTGCTCGCTCGATCGCCTCGACCGAGTCGCCGCCCACTGAGTAGGAAGACATCGTGCTTGCGTGCTGATTGCGTTTCGCATCATTCGACTCACGTCTCGACACCCGCGTCAGCCGCACGTCTCCGTTTTCCCCACCATTCTTGTTTGCGTTCCTGTTCCCACACATCGTCCCGACCCAGGAAACCGGAGTATTTTTTTACACCAATTTTGCCGACACCAACAAGACAGGGAGGTGTGGGGTTCCGTTCCGAATAGTGTTCAGAACACACGATTGAAAGATATAATTTTGCCAGCTAATTTTTCTTTACCGAGGTCGTGAAGTTTGAGGAAAAAGGAAAGAAGAAATTCTTCTGCATGCAACCATCGACTCCGCCAGAAAAGAAGCCCCAGCACTGGCTAAACAATGAAGTATTTCGAAAAATCAGGCAGAACTCTCACCTGAACGTCACAACGGACATGTCCTTCAAGTTTTTTCCTTCGCCGTTGCGAAGAATCTCGCGATACTTGGTCAGCTGTGTTTCAACGTCTTTGTAGGTTGACGCGTCGACGATGAATTCATCATGCATATCGTCGGTTAGAAGCTCACAGGAGTAGCCGATGTTGATCGCGGTCTCTGCAAAAAATAATATATACAAATACCGAACCGTATTTTTTAGTTTTAAACTCTTTGTTTCGCAAGAAAATGCGCCATTCCAGAATTTTATTGGAGAAATACGTCTCATTCAGAGAATAGAAGAATACGTTTGTCTAGAGAAATTGATCGACCTGTGTGCCGTTGCTTGCCATCGGGCAAAAACACGAGAATACCCATCAATTCCAGGGATGTAATTAAATAAAACAGACAGCATCGTGACATTTCAACGGGCAAACGACAAATTATTTACAAAAATTACTGGACCATGAACTTGCATTACATATTAGAAAATCCGGAGGGTTTCTGGAAAGTATAGTTTGTCATGCACAAACCATTAGTGCAGTTGGACGATGCTAGGCAAACAATTTTCATGGACTTATCGTCAATGAAAAGATTATTCCGTTCCAACAAGAACAAAAAAAAGGTTACATTTGTTCATCAAAAAGTGTTCAACTGTACTAATGGGATAAAATATTCATGGTGAAGTAAACATCTGGTACTGAACAGAAAACCTGATGGGCCTCATCAAATTACGGAACAATTCCCAAGTGATTGGCAGAATTTCCGAAAAACCCCTCGCATTTTCCGAAAAATGATAAATTGAAAATTTGAAAAAGCAAAATGAATTGAACAGAAGAACCTTGTTTATCGCCGGTCAACACCCAGATCTTGATACCGGCCTGGGCTAGATTGGCAATCGTTTGTGGGACACCGTCCTGCAGCTTATCCTCAATAGCTGTTGCTCCAATCAGCGACATGTCTCTCTCAATCTCCTCGTAAACAGCATCTAATCGCTCTTCTCTGTTATCTAGCGATACCGAAGCTTCTAGATGACGCTTTTTCCAAGCCTCAAAAAAGGCAGGATCCAAATCTTTCGAGGCCAACACCAGTGTCCGCAATCCTTCCCCCGCGAACATCTGAAGCATTGAAAATGAAGTACAGTAAACTCAAGATAAAAAAAATATCACAGTAACAGGTGGACTCTCTCTACAACGGAATTCAAGGGACCATAAAAAAATTTGACGTAGAGAAACCACATAACATGATGGGAGAACCCCATAGGACCGAAAAAAATTGGCTATACAGAGAAAATCTTTGTAGACAAGATCATTGCACAGAAAGTCACATGTGTAACAAAATATTTCGCCATTTTCCAAAGCGGAAAATTCTTTACGAATACGGTAAAATATGAGGGGTTGCACGTTTCCGCGCGGACTTGAAATGATCTCAACACCAGGAATGTTTTAATCCTTTTTCTTATGTTCACTACTTCCAAGAGGCTAGGCAGACAGCTTCTCGATGTCATCACCACCAGTTTGTACAAACTTCTCAGCCCTTTTGGTCCATGTGTTGAAACAGGCCTTGAAATTTTCAGTTAAATTTTGAAGCTTCCCCAGAACATCAGCAACAAGTTTCTCCACGTGGAACCATGTAACCCGTCGTAAACTTACATTCAAGTGCTCCAAGGTTTTTTGATGAAGCTGATTCTTGCCAGATTCCAAACGTTCATAAATAATGCTGTCCGCACCCTTGCAGTACAGCTTAATAGCTCCGTTGCACCTGATTATCACAGACATTCGCTTCCGCACATTGTTGAAGTCCAAGATGCACAGTAATTCGTACTTTTTTTCCTCCCCCATTTCCTATGACACAAGACAACATGTCGGAAAATAGTGGTCATTCCAAAAAAAAGTAAGTCGCTCATCCAAACGCACTATTGTGGTGATAGTGTTGGGCGTCCGCTCTTTGAAAATAAAACCGAAATTCCGGGCTGCGGACACCAATGCAGCCTCGTCCGGTGATTGTGCTTGATAGATTAGAGCACCTGGCAATGAAAACTCGGTTTGAAAAATACTGCACCTCAAAATCAATCAAATTTCTCCCGAACTAGGCTGGGTTACAAAAATAAATCTAAAAAAAAAATACTTCACTAAGTGAAAAAATACTTAACGAACAAGCAGAATAAGACTTCAACAATCATGAAACTTTCGATTGTCCATGACACTTAACGCTCTATTGTGTACGAAGAGGAAAATCTCACCATTCTTCTCCTCGGGCATCACAGTGTGACAGAGCGCAAGCAGTCTGAAAAATTCTTGAACATCTTTTTGACCCTTGTTGATGTTTTCCAACAAGTGCGGATCATAGAACTTAAAATCCGGCTCACTGTAGGCATTGGCTGAGAAATCAACCAACGGAGCCTCCTACAGAAAATGCAAAATTCGAGATTATGCCACCCACTCAGGAGTAATCGATTTACGGATAGTTCTACTCAGTTCTGCGAATATTGGGGGAAAGACTTCGGCAAATATAGATATCCACCTTTCTTTTTTCTTTCTTGACGCTTCAAAGCATTTTCCAAAAACAAGTAATGCGTACTTTTTCAAAAAGCAGGCGTTAATACATCGTATTTCAATCATTATAACGCTGAGTTCATCTAAAAAAATAGCTGTAGATACGTTAAAAAATGCAAGCTCAACGCCAACGCAACACGGAGGAAGAGAGCGTGTAAACATGTTTCCGAGGAACTCTTGGAAAAAAGCTGTCATGAATCCTGCGGAAAAATAACGAAAATTTTCTGCGAAAAAAACAAACAAACAAGGGGGACAAGAAAGGGTCGAGTTCGAGACAGATACAGGCGTATGATTTTCTAATACAGTACAGTAATGAGGACAAGATAATTCTGAATGTAGGCCGTGCAGCCGCAGAATTCCGTCAAAGCAACGAAAATTGGCATCCAAGAAACATGAAAAGAGCACAAATCGGGTGACCCAGGAAAACAACGCCTGAAAAATCTGAATTAGTCAAGCGGCCTTTGACGTCAACGCTGCTCCACCCAACAATCCGACGCAACCATAAATAAATGATGCGCATCAAAAATTAACATGACTGAGGTCACCCGATTGAACAAATAAAAACGAGCGCATAATTTATCACTTCACTGCCACGGTCATTACTTTGATGGTCGCAGGTCGATATAACAAGGTTCGAGGGGTCGTCAGGAACATATCAGCAACTCGTGAAATCAGATGCACGACGACGGGATATTTAGTCAAGTAACCATAAAACCTTACGCAAAAAACTTACAATTTCCTTTTCTTTCAAAAATGAAATTTCAGTGAAAAATCAAACTCACCTCAAGATCAGGAACATGTGAACGTCCTGTTCTCGGATCGATCACAGGAGTAGGATCACCATACATTGTGCCTCTTACAGTACACTTGTTGAATGTCATGATGTTCTGAAAACAAAAAACACATGAATGCCGCTGACAATATTAATCAACAGAAAAACAATGATTTATCTTTAGGAGTGGATTACCTGAGTCAGTGTTCCGGTCTTATCGGAGAAAATGTACTCGATTTGGCCCAATTCTTCGTTGAGAGTCGTTGTACGAGCTTTCGCTGGAGTGTCCTTTTCTTCATAGTACATTTTCTCGTCCCAGTTGATGAGTAAGCTCTGTGCGAGGCGAATTATCTCCACACTAACAACAAAAAACAAACCGAGTGAGCCATGAAACTTGTTTACAACACGCAGCAAAAAATGCAATAATTCGACCACCTGAGGATTGCGGTGATTTTAAATTATCAAATAAAAAAATAAAAATATATGAAGATGAAGAAGGAAATCTACTGGACCACAGAACGAATTTAACGGCAATTACTTCGAAGCATCTTTTAATCGTGCAAAGAAACGCGTCAGTATCAATTCTAACATGCAATATATCTAACCTGACATATAGTGAAATAGGCACGACGGTATTGAGAGCGATGAGGTAGGAGAAGAAAATTAGGATGGCTATCACAGTGGCCCCGCTGGTGGCTTCCTCGGGCACGAGCGAGTCCCACGGCAGGAACGATTGGAAGTGATATCCGATTTGGGATTCCCAAATTCCGGCCGCAACCGTGCAAAGTAAGCACATCATCACGAGGAAAAAAACGATCTGGAAATGAAATATTTCTCACGATATGAACAGCTTAACATCAGAAAATAGGTGAACAGGCATATTAAGCGGTTTTCCTCCTAAAATAATTAACCTTTTAAGCACTATACGATGTCAATAGAAATTACTCAACTGCCGTTTCCACGCGAATGTCATATGACATGGATTCTAAAATACACGTTGATTTTCTGAACTTAGCTGAAAAGTTTCTGAAATGAATCCAAATCTGTCGCTTTCCAAGATGTCGAAAACTGCTTTGCACAGGTTGGACCAAAACTGTCCCTATTTCTAGAATCTCTAGGCAATGATCCTCATTGCATCGCATACCATCGATCAAATGTAGTTTCTCCAAGTCAATAACATAAATTTTTTTATTATAAAAAACCGAAAAGTTTCTCTCCAGTTTTAAAAATTAAATCACTATCGGAAGCGATCTTATGCTTACCATGTCAACTGGAAAAAATGCAGTGCTCGGAAACACAATGATCAAGATGCTTTTGAATTTTGCATGCAGAATTTTGAATTCTCGGTTTACAGTATTTTGTTCAACTTATTCAAAGACGAGTATTTTGAACGACTCGAACAACATTTTAAAGTAAAATCACTTCTTAAATTTTTGGATAACCCAAAAAATGTTGAATTCAAATATGAAAATCGAGTGATTTCAGGACGCAATCTGCATTTCTTACGAGGTAAATCTGAAAACGAGTGCCTTACAAGCTTACATTCGCGTGAATTCAGGCGATTTAAAACGCACCAATACATAAGATGAAATTGAACCTGCCATCAAACCAGCTTCAAATCAATACAACACGGAAACCTCTTGAGAATAAGAAGGCTGGATTATTTAACAAAACGAGGGAACACGAAGCCTTCAAATAATGCATATTTCGTGGGGAAATGGCGCTTTCATGCGGAAGACACTTACTCCAAGAATGAGCACATTCATGAGTCTATCTATGGACGTGCGCTTGAACTTGGTCTTCCCGGAGTTCATCATCAGCTTTGTATCCTTTCCGGCAAAGATCACGACACCGTAGCACCATTGCGTATTACGCAGAATGCAGCCGCGTAAAAGCACCTTATCGTTATCCAACGCGAACCTGGAGAACCACAGAACAAGAGTTATAGTAAGGACCACAATAATAGAATAGACAAAAAATACTCATATCAAAAACTAAAAAACCCTCGACATGCTACGAAAAATTAACCAGCAATCTCTCACAAGTTGCTCAGCTTATGCCAATCCTCACAATCAAAATAAACTGTGCGAAGATAGAGTAAGATAACTAAACCGCATTTTTTCAGGACGACAGTTTCAACAACTTGATAAATCGTAAAAAAAAAGGGCTTTCGGCTATCAGCAAGAAATTTACAGAACACTCTGAACTTTCGACAGAATTCAACCTCGACCGACAAAATTTTCCGTAATCTTTTGAAAAGGCGCTTCTGTAACCCCAAACGTGCATTCCAATCTTGAAAAATTATATTCGGTCATTAATAAAAAATCACATGTGAAAAATGAATTCGAACCACAGACGACATCTCCTCCATTAAATTTAATTACAGTATTCTAGTTAATAATTTTAGAGAACAGCCTCAGCGAGAAAAGCAGTTGGTTCCAGATACATCGACTTTCGTAGGGGTTCAATTTAATAAGGCTTGAAATTTAACCTCTTCGAGTTTAATAAAAAAAAATTCTGGGCAAAAGGAAAACTCACTTTTCGCCTTGCCATTCCATTGTCCCCTCAAAACGCGACAAATTGTTGTTGGGTGCCTCACAATATATTTTGGCGTCGAAGTGCCCTAACGCGGCGTCATCCTGACCCAGATCGCTTGTTTCCGCCAGACACTGCCGTGATTTCAGGTTCGTCTCTCTAATAAAATATTCAAATCAGATAGCTATTACCAAGAAGTGCGAGCAAGATCTACGTCTTATGGTCTATTTCGTCACTGAATTTTTACGGCGTTTCCCACAGAAATTGAAATTAATGCATCACTCATCCGGCTTTTACACCAGAAACTCATCCGAAAGCATCATTTTTCGTACCTTCCACAAGCGGTCAATCAAATTACTTCAAAACGGCGCTTCCCTCGTCATGGTTTTCTGCATTGCATAAAAAGCCTGACAGCAAATAATTTTTGAAATTTTGTGCATAATCCATAAATGATGTAAAAATGAAACGATTCAGAGGGCACCCAAAAAACCTACGTTCGAAAAAAGCCAAGAGTCGCGAGGTTATCTTAGATTTATGGAGTGGAACAAAACGTCGTCAGAAACAGAACGGTACTTGTAAAAAGTGAAAGTCATGAAAACATATGAGCTTAAAAATACAAATAAGCGTTTTCTATGGAATCTAAACGAAGTCATACCCATCAAGCTCGGCAGTTTCAATGTAGCACAACCCATTGGGTTCCGAGGTCGACAAAAGCAGCAAATCTGCCGTGACGAAGTCATCGTTGGATAACTTGATGATATCGCCAACTTGCACTCTGCTCCACCGTTCTTCGGTCAATCGTCCTTCCTTTAGCAGATATGCTTTCCTATTGTTCACCCGAGAGTCGCTCCTGTGTCGTTGCTGAAAAAAAAAAAAAATTAGAGAAAAAAAAATGGGTTAAAGATAGAATCCCCCAGCAAAAAAAAAAAGAAAAACACGAGTCGAATAATCGACAGATGTCGCGCTGATGTAAAGTCGCTTTTACTGATGTAGATAAGGATGAGAGTCGGAACAAAGCCGTGTGGGAAATTACAGCCGCGAAGTATAGAGTGCAGTATCCAAAATTTACTGTACAAAGGATAAGCCATATTTTTCAATGCTCCTAATTTGGGGTTGAACCGCGACATATTCACTATCCACATTCGAGGTTTAATCATTTTTGAAAATATGCACAACGCACGTAAAGTGCAATACTTTCAATAAAATTCTTCAATTTTTTTATCGACTGAAAACCTTGACCGAGAAGCAAAAACAACTTAACCGCCGTGTCACATGAAGATGCAACTTTGGACGCCAATAATATTTACACATGCTCAAACAATTCGTCATTGTTACGGAGAACGTTTGAAAATGTATCATCGAGGTTACGAATTTTCGGTGCACGGGAACTTATCGGAAATCCTTCAGAGATGCAAGATCAAGGTAAAATCTCAAATTCGCCGACTCACACTTCAGAATATCTACTTCAAACGCTGGTAGGTTTTCAACGCAACTTTTAACAACAGGATGCACTTCGTATCATCCTCATTTTATATAGAAATTAATAACTTCCGAGATAACGCGAACAACTTCAAAACGCTGAACAAAGCAGACCTGCGGTTCAACGAGTTTCGAGATCACGGCAACGTTTCCCTTAGCTTTCCTTCCACCGAATCAATGGATCACATGGTATCCCACCTCTTGCCAGATCATGCATAAATTTAATAGATTCTTACTGCACTGTACTATATTTAAAATTAACATTTTCGTGACGAACTCAAATCATGCGACGATAAAATCCGATCGTTAGACGAACTCAAAATTACTCCTCACCCAGTCATCATATGCGTCCTTGATTGCGGTGATTGAAAGTACAAAAATGAGCGGAACTGCTGTCGTTATCGGCGTCAGGGACGAAATGATTGGAATCAGCTGCAGAATGAGCAGACATAGGAAATAGAAATTGGCCAAGCGTTGGAACTGCTCGAACAAGTTCAAAGGTGCGAAAGTCAGCGGAGTGTATTTTGACGTCTTGATGTAGTTGTCCTGAAAAAAACAAATAAAATCAGGATCGAATCAAATGCCAAGATGCACCTCTTCAAGTTAAACACAAAATGTTGTGTTCTAGCAGGTACTTGGAAAGGCTAGAATATCTGCTGAAAAAAATTAAAGGTAAATTTGAGGTTCATCTGTACGCAATATTCAGAGGGGCAGCCGAATGCGCTCAATCCGAACGAAATAAGTAATCAGATTACTTAGAAACAATTAATTATTCTTACAATAACTTATAACATTTTCTCCCCACTTAATTCCATTCGGTATCATTTTCGAAAGCTATAAAAACTGTTCATCAGTTACAAATACTGTATAACGGAACTCAATAAAATTTCTCGAATATAATTCATAAAAATGATTCGAATATGATTAATAAATTCTACAGGATTCCAGGAAAACAAAATTCCAAACAAAGCAGAAATTGTGATAATTAATTCCACAAAGAAGCCCGATCTACACTTGTTTGTTAAAAATCATCGAAGTCAAATTCTAATCCACAGCGAATGCTTCATTTTTAATTTTTGATAATAGCCAATACATTGATAAGGCGAAGAAACCATTCAACGAATTGTCGGTTTTAATAAACCTCATCTTAACAATCTGTCCCTGCATTTGATTCTTAGATTGACGGGCGACCAAATGTAGCGCAGAGTAAATCCTTACTTATGTTATTATGAGGATGTCGCAGATCTCACGTCGAGTTGAAAGTCATAAAAAGGAGGCAAATGTGAAAATTCGCTTTTAAAATGCCTTGGACATATTATCTGTACATTTTTCTTCGATTAGCTAAAAACAAAAATTTTTCTTGAACATCATCAATTGTGTATACATATCTGACATTTTCTCAGAAAATCGCAATAGTACAAGCTTAATCGATTCATAAGGTTGGGTCCACAATACGAACCGGTTAAAAACTAAATTTAACGAAGAATTACGCTCCACAAACGATAGACTTCTCTAAATCATAGTCACCGAAGAAATACCTCAACGTCTTTCAACTGATGGGTATTGCATTATTAGTGCTTTGATTCATTAAATTAAACAATATGCGGGGGCGAGGAGTTCAATAACATGCTGGATGCTGCATTCAAAATTTCAGTTCATTTCAAGGAAAATAAAAGTGATTTCTTCGAAAGTCACAGTTATCGTAAGCATGTAACTTGAAACACTAAATATTTTGATATCTTGCAGAAAAATTTTCACGTACACAGAGCAAAAGTATACTTGAATCTTACGTTTAGTTTTTCCTTCAAATACCATTGAAAAAAAGGCCATAAATATTCCACTACACGACCACATATATATTTTTCTCAACGAAGTGGTCACGAAATGGCAACTAAAGCATCGACCGTGCAAATGCATGAACATGAAGCACTACGAACACAAAAATACGCCAGTGTGAACGCCACATGATGCCGCTCATTTATAACACAGGAAGGAGTGGCATCGGGTAATCTTCAAACACGCCCGTACCTTTTCCGGAGAACTGTCATACTCATGTATGCAGTAAAATGGAAGGATTCCATAGGACATATATCCTACAAATTTTATCTCGTCAATGACGAGGTCTTTCGAAGAATTCGTATGAATTATTTTTTGAAAGGCCAAAGAAAGTCTCAAAACTAGATAACTAGCATACGCACACGTTTTGAGTCATTCGGAAGAGTTCGTCATTCACTACCACAGGAAGACTGAGTTCCCGTTTCAAATCAAAGGAGGCCAACAGAAACACATGAAGGATATGAAAAAAAATCTGATCATCGAGAGAAACCCAAATATTTTTAAATCTGAGCAGTACTCCAAAATCATCCCTCTAGTCTCAGGAATACCGAACCTCAAATGACAGAAAAATTCCGTCCGAAATCTAACAATAGATACGTATGGAACAGTGCATCGCTCAATGATCTTGTCCTTGTCATTCAGATAACCGAAATGTATCTGCAACAAAAATAAGCATGAAATTTCGAAGCGCTTCGTGAAGTTTTTGTGAGAGGAACCTCATACTTTTTTTGTATGATATGCAGCTGTTCGCGTTGAAAAAAAAACCCCACGAATCGTCCGACGAACTTCCACTCCAATTATCGAATATTTTTTATTCAAGGCTCAATCATTCAAGCATCGTTGGATACATTTATGTGAAAGTAAATTTTCAAGAAAACTTACCGCGTATCTGAACTGCGCATTGAAGGCAGGATCATTGATTTTTATCCTTCTTTCCAATTCTGATGAGCAAAAAAATTAAGATGAGGGTTCAACAAAAATTTGACAAGATATTACGCTCTCTATACTTACCAGGTTCTTTTTCCCCTTGACAAAGGGAAAACATTGTGACCAGCGACGCAACAGACGCTAGATCTGTGAGGTGGTAAGGCGTTCAGCCAAGCCACATAGGCCATGGACAAGCTGGTGGACACTGTATGTTCATTCACCAACTCCTCCGCGCGTTGTAAGATCAACGAAAAATCAGCTGCACAACCTTTTCACGTTAAGCAACGAAACCGGAAAACACCCGGACATACAACATGAACTTCCCGGAACGTGAATCACGGATTCGATGGGAGACTTTTAAAAGCTCACAACGGCCGACGCATACTGCTCGCTATAAACGAACACCAAAAACGTTCCGGTGGAAATCGCACGGGACATGCGACGCTGATAACGCACCGAACTGCTTTTCGTTTTCGTAAAACTAAGCCTGGCGACACAAGCAACACGATTAGATAACGAAGTTGTTCCCATCACCCGTGAAACAAGCGGATGCGAATAAAATGGGTTCTATCTTACTTGAACACAGAAACTGAACGAAGACTTCGAATTAAATGCTATCATTCGTGAGGCACCCGCACAGTAAACGATACTACTGTAAATGAATGCGTCCTGAAATCGTCGCATTAACATTCTTTCTCTGCTGAAATAGCGTTCAATATTTCGTGAAAATGGACTCGTAACTCATCATGAGCAGAAGGAGCATGTCTTTGCAGAGCGAGAACAAATGAAGAGGCAAAACAGACCAACGTAGATATAATTTTCATCAGGATCAACCAACGAATATTTCAATTTTCGAAAAAATGAAGAACATGACCATATAATCAAGCAAGATGAATCTGCGTCTCTTCCGCAGAATAATTCATCAACCGTATAAACTGAATTTATCCTAATCCTGAATGAAAAAATACCACATCGTACACTAGCATTGGTTTATATTCCTACAGGTACCAAGAATTCGAAACCATAAAAATCAAAAACATACATGAAGACCCCGTAGCTTCGGTACGGTGTCTCGTTTAACGAAATGTGATCATTTGAAATGATTACAAACAGATGCAGAAGGAAAGGATAGGCTTGAAGCCAAAAATTCGCGCCGATGACCCCGCACCACTCAGGTACAATCACGGTCACTCGCACGACCCACACCTACGGACTGCCGTAAGTCGGAGATTTCGAACAAACATCACGCCAGACGAGTTCCTGCTGTTAAGTGGAAGACACCGGGTGAATTGCCCTACGTACAAAACGGTGTAAAAACTAAACGCCTAGATGTCGCTTCAAAAGGAAGTATATTCACACTTTACAGCCCAGTACTGTACAGTATTTTACTGAAAATACAGAACCTCGTACATTGCAATCCTAAAAGAATATTATACAAAAGAATTTGCACAGCACAATTTTTTCACTCTCAACGGCATATCCTGAGAAACCCAAAGCAAACAAGCTCTTAGAATGTTGATTGTGTCCTTACTGCTGATGCCCACTTCCTGAAATGCAGCGAAGTACTTTAATTTTTCCGTTGATCCTGTACACCATAATACATAAGTCATCGTCCAAACTACAATACAGTATGCGAGAAATTTTGTTTCTACATTCCATTCTCCAGGAAAATTTCAGCTTTCGCACATAATAAAAATTCGGATAATGTTCAGATTTATGTAAATCCATTATCCATGATGAACAGACAACCACCCGATTACATATCCATCAAGTTTCAGATTATTGCTACGGTAAAAAGTTTTCTCAGGAAGGCAATAACCTGTTGGTGCAAAAAATAAAGCATTTTACACCATTGTCACAATTTCTTCGGAAATAAATCTACAGCAAATTTCTCAATTTTAAAAATAATGCGAGTCTACACGTACAGTGTACCTTCACTTTGTACAGTGACTGCGAGAAGATTCTCTGTCCAGCATAAGAGTTTTTGTGTGGTTCCATTGGTTTCCTTACCACATTATAATAAGGTTCTCTTACAAAAAAAATTTTCCGGTCCCTTGAACTTGTTGGAGTGAGAATCCATCTGCAACGATCTTTAAATGCAGTGCACAGTCATTTCTTGCAAGGGGAAAAATTCAAGGATGGGGTACTACCTCCCTTTCCTTTCAACAGACTGGAACACCTACCAGATCAGTTTTTGAAACTTTTTGACCAGCTGAGCACATTTTTTAAAAATTTCCGCGGCAGACCCATTCAGGTAAATCATGGTTCAGACTTCATAGTTCACGTCGCAAAAGCCAATTAGTTCTGTCATTTCGCAAGAGCATTGCCGCGATAATTTCAATTATCTTATTAAATTCGTGGAGCCGCTACGACATCCAAGCTCAAATGTGGAACTTTGAGATTGAGAATCTCTGTCAATAATTAATTGGATCATGAAAATTTGACTAGCAAACGCAACAGAAGCGACATTTAAAATTTCCATCAGCGACGATTAAGTTTACTCGACGTTAGAGACATTTAAAATCCGTCCGCGAAGTGAAAAACGCAATTGACGTGAAGGCATCCTATTTGATGACTCTTTGACAAACATACATATGTATAACTCGACAAGGTGGAGAACGGAAGTAAGCCACGGACGACACTCGTAAGTTTCAAGGACCAACAAAAACAAATAGTTTCAAATCACAGTTCGAATCAATTCACACACAGGCAATCAATTCATTCCTTTTTTCACATCGCAACAAAAGTACAATACAGGTGAACAAATTGCCTCTTGAATGGTGCGTTCAATTCTACAATCAGCGAAGAAAAGGAATGCTCGTTCTCGCAAAACTAACCACGGAAAGTGATTCCCAGGGAACTCTGCACACTAGCCTACGTGCAGTCTCGTCATCCGAGCAACACCGAAAACTGAGCATACGCGGACACCCACAAAAATACAAGCTTAATGGCGGTTCGCCTACGCTCACGCTTGATCAAACGCAACACCAGGAGATCTCTCTCAACGCACTACCTCTACCGACACTCACAAACGCAAGAAAAACCATCAGTTTACTGCAGCAGCATAATAGACCAGTACGAATGAATCGCGAAATACTGAAGCCCCATCCTAGTCCGGTCGATCAGTCTAAAAAGGTTATCCGGACTTTTAACGACTCGTCTCCGCCTATCCAGGCTTTGTTCATAGTACATAACACTCCAACATAAACCTTCGAATTGCACGCTATCAAACATCTATTGAAAATATGTCCGCATTGAAGAAGAAAGCTACACAAAAATTCATGAAATATGAGCAGAATCGGGTGATGTTTCGAGTTTTGATGCTGTTTCAACATGACATATACTTTTTGAATATGTTAGTGCAGCATCTACACCCAGTAAATTTAATGTTCCTTCGCGAATTTCTTCCAAATACCTGTATGATTTACCTGACTTACCGAAAAATCATGACAAATTTTCATCTAACAAGAATGAAATCTCGCGCCAAGTTTTCATGGTTAATTAATGCACATAATTTGCATAAAACACGAGATAAAAAGCACTTTTGCACCGGCCGACAACCATAACAATGAAAGAGGTACAGCATAAATTTCTGATATTTTTCTAAAATGCCGTTGCCCACAATTTTTAATTCTTTCTGAGTTAAGCTCAATGAAAAATGACGTCGAACACTTTCATCGATTAAGGTTCTTCAGGGCAATACGTATTTACCCGAGTAATACGCGCACTTCTCTTCTGCAAATTTAAGGCAAAAAAATGGGTGCGCGTGGTATGCGGGTACACATTAAAAAAAAAGAAAATCGTAGAACCTGTCGTGCTAGTCGTAGAAGTCTTCGAAGGAGAAAAGAATGAACGAAAAATTACGTTTGGTTCACATATTGCATCAAGTTATGATTATTTACACGATCGTTCAGGTAAAAGTTGATTACAGTATTTGAAGAAACAAATTTTGAAATAGCCAAAAACTTGGGGGCGCGTCATACACGGAGTAGGTTTTTTTTTGTCAAATTCTACGGCAAACATTTTAGGTGTGCGTTTTACTTGATTGCGCATGGTACTCGAGTAGATACGGTATATAACCTTAGACCAAAAGAACCGAAATGCAAGCAAAAGGTTAGTTGAAGATACACAAGATGTAGATGCTGCACTTATACGGTACCATCAGTTGGGTAGATGCAGGAAGAGGAGGTACTGTACAGTAAATACTGTGAGAAACCGGAATCGATTTTTCTTGCGGGAAAGTTGAATTCTACGGAGCAAGTTAGAAAATGAGAGTTCACGGTAACGAGATAAAACCACGCAGCCGAGTCCGAACTCACAACAAACAAATACGGTGGAAAATGTTTCGCATGATGCAAGTTTTCCACCGGAACCGACACGTACATAGAAAGGAAAGAATTGCCGATAAGTATTTGTTTCGAAAATCGCCACACAACGCGTTCTGGGCCCCACAAAGAAACTTCCACAGCCAAAAAGAAAAGAGGAAACAATTCAGCGTCATTCAAGCCTCCAAGCCCCCGGAATATCCAAAAACTTCGAACTGCATCCACCAAAAGCTATTCAATTTCATTCCACCTACGATGAACTCCCAATTAATCAAGTACAATATTTTCACAGTTTCCTCCCGAAAGCTATTTCATTGATGACAGTACTTCCACGAAAGCAAAGTTATTTTTCGGATTACTCAACCAATTTTTTGTGCATGATCACCCCAACACTTTACGATCGATCAATCCTAACAAAAACTTCAAAATTGAAGGAGCAACCTAAAAAAATGCTACAAAAGACGAAAAAACAAACATCAGAACGACTGGGGCTGATGCAACACTAGAAAGTTAAGCCATAAGGACCATTCGAGATCTACAGAAGAAATTAGGAGATCCATCTCAAATGTCATATTTTACAGGTCAGCCCCAATCCTTGTTGGCGTTGATGGCTGCAAGTCCATCGTCTTGCAAACCCATCCTGCAATGTCAACGTTGGCAGCATCCCACTTTCGAATCCAAGCATGATTCTGGAGGGAAAAATAAGTTGAATTCAATTGCCAATAATATACAATAAAATCTTGTTACAAAAAATACCGTTAAAACAAAATTTTCAGTAAAAGACACTTTTTTTCAAGTACCAGCAGGAATCCTATTGGGCACATGCTATAAAAATCTCATTATAACAAATTCACCAATTCAAGTACAGTATAACAAACTTTGTCAAGGAACATGTGATTAATTGATAAAAAAAATTCCCAATTCAAGCAGGCACAGTCAAATTTCCCACTCAAAATGTTACTGAACTGGTTCTTGGGACATACAGAGGTGCAGGTAGATGAAAAAATGAACCCAAAAAAACTCATGTCAAAAAAGGTTTGTATGCTTTAGAAACCCTGCATTGATGCTTAGAAGTTGTAAGCTTTACTGGAAAATCAACTCTTAAAAATCTGTACAGGAATTTCTAAAAAAAACTTGAAGTCAAGAAAAAGTGCCAGAGTTGACCAGTTATTCCAAGTAACTGCTTGTTAATAATATTTAAATTTCTTTTTGAAGATAAAAATTTTTTAAATTCTGAAAAACATTTGAAAAGGCCAGAAACGGAACATGTTGAATGCATGTGGGTTCAATTTATAGAAAATATTTCAATCAATATCAAAAATCTCATAACAAATTACATTATTTGTAATAACTAACTACTTCTGAAGTCCCCATGAGTTTGTTGAAACGAGATTTTCATGTACAGTATACGGAAAAAACCTTTCTGTGGACTTCTTTAGTTCATTGGACAAATCGAGTACATGGGAATTGCTTACCATCAAGGACTTCAAATCAGGCCTTTCCGCAGGATTCTTCTTCAAACAGATATCCACAACTTCCTTAAAATCGGCCGAAAATACCCCCGAAGGCAAACGGGGTGGAGGTTCATTAACAATATAATCAAGCAATTCGAATATTGCCATGGGACGAGGCTCTGCTCCAGGAACAGTAGACGTAGTGGCTGAAAAAGAACGAAGAAAACCAGATGAACAATACTCATTTTGAATGTCAGCTCAACTTTGGGGAATTTGGAGTACCGTACAATACAGTCCGTTCTTTTCAATGGATTCACGCGCAACATTCGAGCAATACTCAACTTCATTGTGACACTGCAAGTTTCTTAGGCAAGTGCACATCAGGAGAAGTCGAAATTTAAAATTACTCAAGGAGAGCCGTGCTTTGCGAACGCAGATGCGATACGAAAACCAAAATTCCTGTCTACACCACATTCATCCAGTTATTGAACAATTTTCTTGATGGATCTCCTCAAATTAGCGTAAGCAAATATAAAATACGGTACTCACTTGCATGTGGAGAACGGGTAGGTCCAGAAGAATTCTGGGGTTCAACAGATTCCGTATACCTGCTACCAAAAATAGCCTTCAAGCTGCTCGGATCCGGAGGAGGAATTGGATACATTCCCAAAGCCATTTCAACCAAAGACAATCCCAAAGACCAAATATCGCTTTGCACCGAGTAATTTGTTCCCTGCAGCCTTTCAGGAGACATGTAGCTCCTAGTCCCCACAAAGGAGTTCGCCATCGAGTCAATCAGCTGCCCCGAAACCCCGAAATCGCAAATTTTTATCTCTCCACGGCTATTGACAAGAATGTTTGATGGTTTCACGTCGCGATGAATAATTTGGTGCTTTTCGCGCAAATATCGCAATCCTTTGAGAACAGATGCAGTTATTTTTCCGAGGATGTCTTCCGGGATTCGTCCAGCACGTCTCAAGATCAGGTCCAACGAACCACCATCCATATATTCCATACAGATACTGATTTCTCCATCACTTCAACGATAAATTATTACTTCGTTTTAAAATTCTCAGGAAAGAATTAACTAACAGCGATAGAAACTAACCTGTAAAATGCTCCGTAAAATCCAACGATGTGCGGTGAATTGCACTCATGCAATACTTTGAGCTCACGAATGATTTGATTTCGGATGGCAGGCTTGACCTCCAAGTGAATCAGCTTCCTCGCCATGATGAAATTGCTCGGTTTATGCCGTACTTTGAGAACAACTCCACCGTTACCCGCACCGAGCTCCCCAAGCTTTTCAAAATCTTCAGCACACAAATCTCCGACTTTCCTTTTTTGAACAAGAAACACCTCCATTCGTTTCCGTTGAGCGTCGTCCATTTCAAGCTCTTCAAGTTTGCGAAGCAGCTCATCAAAACACGTGTCTTCAGCATTAGTGCTCGGTTTTCTGAAATTAAAATACATCGTGGGGATCCATACGTCCAGAAGAATAGAAAGAACATTTACTCTGCATCTGGTTGAATTTCGACAGTCGGTTCCACAGGTTGTGCGGGCAGGGTTAGATTCAACGGATTCTTCGTACTCTTCTTTTTCGCCGACATGCTGCACCTCTTTTTTCTGGCACACCGATCAAAACTCAAGTCGATCAGCCACCGCGAGCTAGATCAAGAAAACAATGAACTCAATCAATTTTAAAATACTGCTCCGCTTCGTTACCATGCAGGGTTCACTTATCCACATCGCGTGTTTGCGGGAATCCCCAGCAGTAAAACCATGATTCGACCGGTCTTGCGAGTGACTGGCGGAAGTTGAATGGTACATGAAGACGAGAACATGGACGTGTACAGTTTAACTTTTCTGTTTTTAGATGTCACTGCAAAAATTCAACAAGAGCATGTACAGTATAATATTTCACGCGCCTTATATATAATATAACTCGGTACTTTGTTTACAAATATTTCAATGCAGTAAGGAATACCGTGAGCAACTTAAAGCCGTACACTCCCAGAATCTGGGGAATCATGGTGATCATGGCATGTTTGACTAATTGGCTAATGAGGACAATATGCCCACCAACATGGAGTTCGTGCTCCGGCCGATTCCTGGATTATTTGCTCATTGGTGTTGCACAGTATAGTACAGTAGCTACTAAACTTACAGCAACAGTATTTCTATGAGACGTATACATGCTTGAGAGCGAGTGAATGAGAAGGAATGCTCATTTAGAAAATCGACAATTCTGCTGTATGCATGCTGATGCAAGTAGAGTAGCCCAATCCAGTATATATTGTATGCTCCTGCTCGTGCACATCTCGCATAGGAGTATATTTTAGCTTTTAAATTCATTTGCATCGAAACTGTAGCTCAGATAAGTACAGTACTCATCCTACGCTTACGTGACACCCATCATATCCATCACTGATGGGGAAAAGTGCAAATCGTCACAAAATTTTTGACGCAACCCGCGCGCGCTTCTTTGATGTGTGGTGAGAAAATCTGTCCAGACGGGGTAGGTCACGTAGGTGTGACCTAAAGGTACAGCAACGCCCTACAACCCTGTTCCTCAAGTACTGTACCTGAATTATATAATATTTATACGCGTACTTGTACTCTTTCCTGTGCAAACGATAGAATTAACTGCTGGCGGCGGAGTGAAGCTTTGCTCATGACTGCTGTACATATACTTAGGATGATTTGAACTCTGGCCTGTTCTGCGTGGCAGAATGAAGTGTAGTGAGTGAGAATGATAATAGGGGGGGAAACGGTGAAAAAAATGTACTGTACAATGGATGAGAGCTTCAATCGTCCAGGCAAAAATTACAGTACAGTATACTGCTTTTGCCTGAATTATAAATGTTGTGGAATCTTCAAGGTCTATTTGAGATTTTCCGGATTTTTGTTTCTGTGTTGAACATTGAAAAATTTGAAAATATTTACTGCGATGCTTTCTCGTTTCAACTGCTGCGTCCTTATTTATTGTTATTCAGTCCATAAATAAACACCTGATCATTTTTCAGTCCGAAACACCTGCTCATTGCGAGCACTCGTATTGTATGAGATAGTGAGCGTCGATGTACCTTTAGGTCACACCCAGCCAGGCTGGACATATTTTACCAAACACAAAAAAATTTGCATGGAATGGCACTTACACTTTAGGCGTTATTTGGATTATTGAACGGATTTTTCCGTAGTACGCATTAGAGAGACCTGGACAGATTCGATTTTTACGGATTATTGATGGGTTGGATCCGCGCCCTCGATCTCATGCAGCAAAGTGGACGTATAATTTAATCTGATTTCAATCCAGCATAATTAAAAAAAAAACACAAATACGTATAAGTCGTACAATAATAAACATCTGGAAGAATCGAGCCACGTACACGATTCGAAAAATCCTGACATTTATTTGGTCGTCCAATAAACAACATATATATTAAATCTTCAAATCTTTTTCATCAGTCGGGCAAAACTCTTAGCATGCACATGATGCATAAGTGTGGAATGAATTCTGCATTTGTTTCTTTCTTGAGAAAAAATACAGCCTATGTCTCACGTTTCACTGACCGTTGGTTTGGGTCCTATATATATAGCTGGAATTTCTGACTATAGAGGATTATTTTTGGCATGAACATTTGCTTACAGGCAAATAAATGGCATCGAAAATATCTCAGAAAATCAAACATTCCTGAGGAGAATTTTTTTTTCATCTGATGCTGGTTTTTAGCAAACGTGATTACACCATTCCTCAAGCTGACAAAATTCCCAAACTTCAATAACTCCGTGCAGAGATTTTTAATTCCTTTTCTTCTTTCTTTCAAACAAACGTAGCGAAAAATAAAAGAAAACGAAAAATTTCAAACCCGGGATCCACGAAAAAGCGTTTAAAAAAATGGAAACTGAACACCAATTTGTTTTCAGTGACATGATCGAATTAACCGATGAATTATCTGTACAGTATACTTTATTACATTCCGTTGTAAGAACAATTGGTGATCTCAGGTAGTTCATTGAGGGGGATAAGGTCCTCGGCAGGAGGTCGTGTTGATTTTCGAATTTCTTTGCTGACCTGTTGGACGAGAGAAGAAGTCCATTGAAATGACTTGACATTTTATTTATAATGAATTGACTCCACTTACCTCTTGGACTTTTTCGAAGACGCGAAGTAAATTGCCTCCCACGAGCTTTTTGACGTCATTCACTGACCACTTTTCGTTCTTCAGCAGTTCAACCAACAAGTCGGGGTATTTTCCAACGTGCTCCAAACCCGTCACAGTACTAAAATACATAAAAACATCTTTAAATTACTCTGCCAAAAAACAAAAGGTTCGATATTTCAAAAGTACGGTAGCACCGTAGCAGAGAAAGAAGGATAAAAATAATGGAGCATGGATCAGGAAAAAGTGTGGAAAAATATCATCGATACGCCATAAATTCGCGAATCAAATTAAAGAAATCCATTTTTGAAAAATCTTACCTGTCGATCCCATCGAAGTCGGACCCAATCCCGACATGATCGATTCCAGCAATATTTCTAATGTGATCTATATTTCCTGTGAATTAAAAATGAAACAAATTAGTTTTCAAAAATACTGTACAATACTGTAGTTCAATGCCAATAATATTGCCAATAAGCAATTTTTTTGGCAGCTGTCGCTTACTTATCACATCAAACATTGATCCTGCCGCCGAACACGAAACAAATTGAGGATAAAACGGCACCATCACAATTCCTCCATTCCTTGCCTGTGAAAATAGGAAAAAAAAACGAAATTTCATAAAAATGACCCCAACATAGCTGATTAAAAAAATAAGCAATCAGTGAGTCACAATGATTTTTAAATTATTGGCATTCAATCCTAAAATCTTCTGGACGGTTTCACATCATGGTTGCTTTTAACTCAGCATTCTAAAACATTTGCTTCGTCGAATTTGAAAAGAAAATTGTAAAAAATCTAATTTTCACGAATTTTCTTGCACAAAAACTTTCCAGAGCAACTGAATTATTGTGAACAAAATTTTGAATCGTTATTCTACGAATTTCGCCTTTTAAAGAGTTCGCAATTGATTCTTTGTTGAAACAAGAAGGTACTACTGTATCTGTGGATCAAATTATTGAAAAATTTTGCTTCAGCAGCTCAATTGCTCAAAACTTACAAATTTTTTGGCAGCTGTCGCTTACTTATCACATCAAACATTGATCCTGCCGCCGAACACGAAACAAATTGAGGATAAAACGGCACCATCACAATTCCTCCATTCCTTGCCTGTGAAAATAGGAAAGAATACACGAAATTTCATAAAAATGACCCCAACACAGCTGATTAAAAAATAAGTATGGTAATCAGTGAGTCACAATGATTTTTAAATTATTGGCAATCAATACTAAAATCTTTTGGACGGTTTCACATCATGGTTGCTTTTAACTCAGCATTCTAAAACATTTGCTTCGTCGAATTTGAAAAGAAAATTGTAAAAAAATCTAATTTTCACGAATTTTCTTGCACAAAAACTTTCCAGAGCAACTGAATTATTGTGAACAAAATTTCGAATCCAATAAGATGCTTAAAGCGGAAAATTTCTCAAGCGTTAACTAAGAAACAACTTTGTTCTTCCATGATGACATAGACACCTAGTTTAATAACTTTTTAAAACGAAGTCGTCGAGTTAACGAGTTTTGAAATTTTTAATGAAAAATTTTCCAAGTAACCAGCAGTCTTTTTAAATTTCTATGATCAGTAATTGAGATTATGAGTTTATTCTCTCTTTTGGTTTAAAGTAAGTTAACCACCTCTCGTTCCAGAAGATCATCAGGTTAACAAGAATAATTGACCACTGGTCTTTGAAGGAACCTTTGAGAGGTTCCCCTACACTACAGATCAGTTATCTTTTAAAAATACCATATAAATTGAACTCAAAATATGGAGCTAATTTGAGAAGCATTTCAGCCTTTAAAAAAGAGTTTTAAATTGCGTCAAGACCTTTGAGAAAAATCCTACTTCTTAAATCATCTTCAATCATCGGGAAAAAAATGTTTATTACACTTTTTGATGATACTTTTGACCATCGGAGAATTTTACTGAATATGGCTCGAGCGTGTCCATCACGCAAAATTGTTTACACAATTTGTATGTATCCTCGACGTAAATGGAGAAGAGAATATTCAGAATAATTGTTTTGAAGTATTGTGTTTTCTTGACAGGAATGCAATAGCTCACAATTTGCAGCAGAACGTCATCTGCAACATTTCGAGTGATGTTGCAGATGGCCTGAGCAGCGGAATGGCTGAAAATCACCGGGGCCTTCGTCACCTTCAGCACTGCCCGAGACGTTGCTTCCGAAGCGTGGCTCAGGTCGACCATCATCCCGATCCGATTCATCTCTTCAATCACAGCCTTTTACGCAAATGAAGGAATGCGTGAATGCACTTTTTAATTCATGCTGGCATGAAATCCCAAAATAACAAACATGCTCTGAAAGGTTTCTGTATATGATGTACAATACTGTACAGTATTCGAGGGGTTACACGTTTCCGCGCGGACTAAAAATGATCCCAACACCATGGATTTTTAAAACATTTTTCCAATTATGTTCTGCGGCAAGGCAGAAACCTTCTCAATGTCATCACAACCAATTTGTACACAGTTTTAAGCCCTTTTTATCCATGCGTTGAAAAAGGCCTTGATATGTTAAATTTTTAAATTATGAAGCTTCCCAAGAACAGCAGCAATATAATAACAAGCTGATCCGCGCGGAACCGTGTAACGACATGCGGCTTTATAATTTAAAAGTGCTGTTGTGTGGGAATTTTATCATTCAGCGTGGGCCAATAAAAGCGAACTGACTTCAAAATTGCTGAATATGGAGACTCAACTTACAAAAATGCGCAGCAGTAGATAAAAAAAATTATTTCACAAATAATAATTTAAATGTGCAGGAAGACAGCAGCTAAAATTTGAAGCACAGATACAATTTGAAGTTCTCCAGTTTATTATCACTATAAAGTACACTATAATATTATTACAAAGTACACTTCTAGTATAAAGAAATGAAAAATCTTTCGAAATTATAAACAATTTTTATCTTGCTCCACTGTATATCTTGATGAAGTTTTCCCCACTGATGTCAAGTTTGGTCCTCAAGATAAATTGGAGTTATTTATCCATACTTTGATAAATGTAACAAACCTTTTTTCTAATAAATGTATGTGACGCATGTACGAGTAATTTGCTTTCTCGAATTTTTTGCGAAGCATATACACGTTCAAATCATTCTCCCGGGGATTTCTTGCTCAAAGCCACGTATTTCAGCATTCGCAAAAAAATTTTTTAGAGGGTAGCATTCAGTATCTGTATTTTCTTGGGCTTAAATCGGCAATTCCAAATAAAATATGATTGCCTCATGGCAGTATGGGATTAAATAATAAAAAACCTGTGATGTATAGATGTTTCAAAAACAAAGTTTCCATTTATTGTCACTATTCAGAAGACTCTCCGCCTAAATTATAATATTGTACTTTGCTTAATTTTGAGAAACCTTCTATTCACAGGGCTGCACTTCAAGACAATGGTTCCAATTCGCTTCCAAAGATACCCTCATTCAAAAAGGCATCAAATATTTTGTTATAAACCATGCAGGTAATAACACCGATAAAAAAAGTGTCGACTACAGTACTGTATATTAACCTTTCCGAACTCTGTGAGTCCAACAGCCGGCATCATATGGCCTCTATTAGCAGAAGTGTTGTGCCCATGGAAGTGCGCCTGTGCCCTGAAAAACAAAAAGGGATAAAACATACAGGAAAAAAATCTATACGGAAGAAAACGGAAGTTCTCACCGAAAAAAAAAGTTTCTTCCTTCCGCACGCGACAAGAAATAAGTAGCATAACAAACGCCCGCGCGATAACGAGTAAACTTCTGACCTCCCTGTTTCTTCCCCGAAGACCAGCTCCCGTTTATATATACCGTATATATACTATAACTCAAACGAAAACAAAACAGCAAGTGTCACTATATACGAAGAAAATAAAAGGAGGGAGGAAAAAGGAGTCGACTTCCGCGGTAAAGGAAACACTTACCAAGGAGTATTACAGTTGTGCGTCAGAGTCAAGTAGCTCGTCCCCAGGTCATGCATCATTCGCAAGACACTCAGTGAATTCCCGATGGAGTGGCCTCCTTCCACTCCGATGAGACCAGCTATTTTTCCTTTCTTGTGTGCGTCTCGAATATCTGGACAAAGCAAACGGACGCAAAACCGTCATTTACTGGATTAAAAAGCATTAGCGTATATAGTTTCCAGTCAACGTGTCTCAGTACTTTGGCCATTGAATTTCGAAAGCGACGAAACTCATGCAATTCGCCGGGACGCGGGGGATTCTCGTCGGATTTTTGGCGAAGTTGTGTCTCAAAAACAAAGTCATCGTCTGGGGAATCTCGATTGTGTGTTGCGTTATGCGTTTGGAACATCTCCAAGAATAGCAGGAAAATTTTCCCATCAGCGAGACGGGGACCTTTTTTTTATCGGCTTTTATAGATAAACCCAAAAATTACATTCTATTGATGAAATATTCGTACTTTCAGAATTCAATATTTGATTTAGGAACATTTTTATTGGACATGTTTTGAAGTTACTTCGAGTGCATTACTCAAAAATTTTTCGGCGTTTAAAGTTTGCTAACATGGCCGAAAAATGCATAATCGGAAACATAATCGATTAATTTTTTTAAATAAAAGAAAAGTTTATTGCTTTTTGAATTAGGTACCGAATACTGAATTAAAAATAAATTAATGCTAATGTACACTGATTCATTCGCATTTTCACAAAATTCGGGAGATATGATTAACTTCGGATAATAATTTTTATTAATTTTCAAGGCCTAAAATCGCAGATTTCAAAACATTTCTGCATTTCGAACGGTTAAAAAAACTATTTCAGTCGACGCATCACATCTGTAAAATTTTACGGTCATGGTAACAGATGTATTACCTTTGAAAAAGCGTGAATTTTTACATTTTAAAAAGATTGTTCACAATTCCAATACAGTATTTCAAATATGCCTCCAATTTGGCATCATCAACTTACAAATAATCGTTCAAGTTTTCTAAAATAAATCTTTGATTCTTTTTGCCAATTTTTAAAAATTGTGTATGGATTTTCATTTTATATAGAAAAGCTTGTCCACAGTTGCTGTACTGTATTCCAAAGATATTCCCATCATCCCATAAATTGAACTGACGTCTTCAAATTTCGACGAAATTTGCAGCAGTGCCTTGAAGACATCCTTTCTTCTTCTTCGCGGCAATTTTTTAAACGTTGAGATAATATCGCCAACTTTTTTCTCAATGTAACTGCAAAAAAAAATCTCAAATCCTCTATAGGAAAATCCGATTGATAGAATTTTCAGAAGAAGAGGCAAACATCGTGACAAAACGGAGAACTTTTCGTGAATGGATGCACCGACAGCATGGGCTTCAATAGACGAGGCAAACGCAATAACAGTCCAAGTCGCGAAAAGGTCACAACAATAAGAGACCCATGCCCCCTTGGGACCCTCGGGCATGCTGCTGAGGTAAAACTCTATTTTCCGGTAATGTAACTTGTTTGCTCACCCTTGACGGAAGTGGCCAATTGAAGATGCTCTGGATAAGCCTCTATCATCCGTTTGATCACGTCAATCTGCTCCACCGTCATCTGCACTGCGTTGTAGTACTGGGTACTGCACGGAACGTAGGCTACCCAAAACTTCAGGGGAAAAAAAAGAAGCATTGTGTCTAGAATAAGACTTGTACAGCTCAGTCTATACTGTATATCTTTCTGCATTCAATCTGAACTCTTCTTTTGAAAAAAATGTAAAGATTTTGGGCTTTGATTGCAAGACTATACGAAACCTATAATTCATTGCAGCAAGTACAGACTAGCAGTGTTCCACAACCTTTTTGGGCCCACGGACCAGCAAATTTCCAAAAAAATATTTGCGGGCCGGCAAATTTCCAAAAATATGTTCTGCGGACCAGTAAAGATTGATACATTTTTGCAGACTCACCAAAGTTTTGCTTGAATGTTATTTGGTAGGTCATTGCAAGAAAAATTAATAAGACTTGTTCAGCTCAGTCTATACTGCAAATCTTTCTGCATTCAATCTGAACTCTTCTTTTGAAAAATATATCAAGATTTTGGGCTTTGATTGCAAGACTATATACGAAACCTATAATTCATTGCAGCAAGTACAGACCAGCAGTGTTCCACAACCTTTTTGGGCCCACGGACCAGCAAATAAGAAAAATAACAATTTTTCGGACCGGCAAATTCCCATACATTTTCTGCGGACCGGTAAAGGTTGATAAATTTTTGAAGACTCACGAAAGTTTTGCTTGAATGTTATTTGGCAGGTATTTGCAAGAAAAATTTAGTTAAGAATGTCATCAATCAATTAGAAAGGTGGGCTTGGAGAAAGGCTTCTCAGAATGAAAAATTGAAATAATTCATTTCACCAGGTGAAGATCGATTTGTCCAAAGTGTTAATATGAATACAGCCAACTTTTGTTTTCATCATATAATCCAACTATCATTGTCCTTCCAAAATTTTAGGTAAGGAGAATATACTTCCTCCGATTTTTGATAAATTGATTATGCTGAAAATTTCCCGCGGACCGGCTAAAAACGTCTGCGGACCAGCACCGGTCCGCGGACCACGGGTTGGGGAACACTGGACTAAGAAAGTTTGTAGAAGACCGAACTTTATGAACTCAGATTGCGGATAGAAGCGCAAATTCCATACTATTATCTGGACACCGTCATGATTTATTTTTTGCGACCCGTATACATTATCTGATGAAGGAGCCTGAAAGTTATTTCCGAGCAATGTTTGCTTATTTGAGGCTATAGAAAAAATACCATCGTTCCTTCTGATTGTACAGTACTGTATGTATACTGATGTACGCAAAAGACTAAATTACTGTAATTAGAAGAAAGTTGACTCGAGTCCCGAACTTTCTGAGTTTAGATTGCGGAATGACAGAAGAAAAATGGCTAATTTCTACTATGAACGTCTCAAATTTCTTGCGAATCGCGTAAAATCCATTATTGCAGTTTAGTTGTCGCATAAGTATTTATTCTTAGCAACTCATTGTCAACCTTCAATGAAAAGGACAATCTTAAAAAATGTATGGAAACCATTGAATTTGTGATTCATCGGAATTTTCAACAGGTGAATAAATTTATGCGACTTTTTGTGAAAGCTGTTCGTCAAAAACCCTCCCAGCACGTTCTTGAAAATTACTTGACAAGCCTTATAATCCTGCAATTGGTCTGTGGTTTTGAAATTTTGATTTCAGATTATAGGGCAGATTATTTTTCAAATGATTGGTGGCAAACATTGAAATTTATGATACAAATGTTTGCGTTTGAAATGAAGTTGTTGGAGAAGAGAGCTGAAATCTCTTGGAAATTGTCGACAAAAATTTGAAAGCTCTTTACAATCATCGCAAAAAGGGATCATCGCAAAAAAGAACAGAAAGATGCGAATTCGTTTTGAGTTATTTCCGACTTCGTTTCTAAATGTTTCCCGTCGGTTAAAATATAATATAATTTCACAGAATAATGTTTGGATGAAAACAAGTTAATATTTTAATGCGTTACCGAGGTTTTGCAAATAAATGTTAAATGAACGAATGCTGACCAGCAGGTTTCGTTCGCATGATAATAAATTTTTTATGCTACTCGCGATAATTTTTTTTTGTAAATTTTGGCGAGTGTTTTGGTTTTTGAATCCTCAGGAAATTTGGACGCAATGAGTGTAATTAGAGGCCATGATAATAACAGAGATAATTATCAATATTCATCGCTTACTTGAGCCCCAACTTTGCCTTGTCGAAGCCGGAAGAAGTCAGTTTGCGACCAGTTTGAATTGTTCCATGGAAAAACTTTGCTCAAATCAGCCGACAGATTCACGCTGCTCAATTGGTTGTGGTGGAATTGCCGAATGTTCCATGGCATATCATTGTGCCTAAAAAAAAGAAAGTATGAGGAAATTAGAATTTTTAAAAAATGCGACAACCGAAATTCCAGTTTTTATTCAACTGTCATGATTGATCAGTGTCTCATCACAAAAAGCGCTTCGGATGTTGCTTTGAATTGTTTGTGCGACGAACCGCAGAAATTCGCCTGCTTTTACGCAGTGAAAAGCCCTCGGAAATATTTGTGAAATCCAGCTCGGTGCATGAATAAGTCAATCTCGAGGCCCTGACACATTCCAGAAGGACGCCCCTGTGATCACAGGGTTCCTTGAATAAAATATTCATGAGGCACTGGACCAAGTTTACCGAGCTCGCAGCTTGAAGGTCAATTCAGTTCCGGTTCTTGTGCAGTTTCCGGGACCAAAGAGACATTTTGGAAAGTCATTTCCGAATTATCTCCCTGAGCCCGTGTGTTAAATTCAGCAATAATCATTTCGGAGTCCCTTTGAGCCACTTATACAGTAAATACTGTAAAGGAAAATACGATGGGGAAGTTGATTGTTCAGTGGATCAAATACTCTCAGAAAAATTAACTGAGAATATAAATATTTCAACGTTCCGGAATGTCGTTAAATGAATCTACTCATTCCATGGTACAGTATCTCGTTCTAGTACAGTATCACTGTGAAAAGTTGAATTTCCTTGATTGTGCTACTCTAAAAATGGAACAGGATCTAATTTTTGCAGAAAAGATATATTTCTTATACTGTATAAGACATGCCTTAAAATCTTGCGGCTTGTTTTTCCTTCCTTTGAAATTTCAGAAATTTCTCCATTCGGCAAGCTGGGAAATTTTGGTTCGGGTTTCATGGCAAACAAAGTGGCAAAAATGGGTATGCCGAAAAATTGAATTATTGTATTTCAAAAACCTTTATAAATTTCAAGCAATATTTCAACTCAGATGTACGTATCCCATTTTTTATGTACGCAGCCCACAATTTAAAACTTTACCATACAAGCATGAATGACGGATTTCGCGGTAAAGCTTACATTTATGAATTTTCTCGGCACATAATTTTTGAACCGCTAAAATTTTCTGGAAAACGCGGACTTTTCCCGAAAAAACAGGAATTCTGTAAAAAAAAAAAAAAAATGTGATTATTCTGTGCCTTAAACTCATCAAGTGAAAAATACAACTTGGATGCAGACAGTCCATATCATGAAATGTAGACCCAGCAAAAATTTCAGATTGCCGCCTGAGATGGTGGCTATTTTTACGCGTATCCTGGCCGTTTCAGGTGGTGGTCAAACGGTTTGGGATGCAAGTAGGGATCTGTTTTCCTGACGCGGTCAGGATGGGGTAAAAAACGTTTTTAGTTGATGCTTTTGAAAGCGTCAGAGTCTGACGCTTTTAAAAGCGTTTTTAACCTAGTCAAAAACGTTTTTCCATGACGCTTTTGAAAGCATCAGAGGCTGACGCTTTCAAAAGCGTTTCTTACGCTGTTAAAAACGTTTTTCTGTGACGCTTTTGAAAGCATCAGCTTCTGACGCTTTCAAAAGCGTTTCTTACCCTGTTGAAAATGTTTTTGTGTGACGCTTTTGAAAGTGTCACATTTTGACTCACATTTTTTACACTGTTAAAAACATTTTTGTTTGATGCTTTTGAAAGAGTCAAAATAACTTATTGTGACTCTTTTAGAAGCATATTTTACCCTGTAAAAAACGTTTTTCTGTGATGCTTTTAAAAGCATTATTGTAATTTTATTATAGTAAGTGCTGTAATGTTTATTGCAACAAGAAATTGCTGTAAAATGATTGTAAAGAGCAATTTTTGTGTTACTGGCAATTGCAGAAAACAACATTGTGTTAACACTGCCTTTACTTTGTTGCAACATTGTTGGCATGCACACTGTTGTGTGCTGTAATTAAAATGAATATGTATTATTTGCAATATGGTGCATGAATGCATCAATTGTGTATAGTCCATAGTTATGACTACCAGATCCGCGCTGTGATGCTAGAGTTTCTGGCCAGAATTTCTGCTCAGGCCAATCACTGTTGTATGTTTGGCGCAGTTGTTATGGCTGTGGGCACTGAGTTGTGGGGTCCCGGTTCGAATCCCCTGTAGGTTGCTTGTTTATTCATGTCTTTCCTTTGTGTGTGTGTGTGTGTGTGTGTGTTTAACATGCTGCTATGCACCCTGCATTCACAATGCTAGTACAGTGTACTGGCATTGTAAATGCAGAGCTGCATAGCAGCCAAAAAAATTTTCTTGAAATAGTTTCACTGACGCCGTAGGGAACAGCGTCAAAAAAACGGGAATCTTGGCGGGAATATGGGGGGGGGGGCGCCCAAACCGCCAGGATAACCGCCAGGGGAAGCGGCAATCCTATCCCCGTCTCTCCAGGCGGGTATAATGCCCGCTTTTTATGGTCTCAGTGGCTGCCTGGATAGACGTCCACCCTGGACGTCTATAAGGCCGTTTTTACTGCGTAAACCCTAGCAGTTAACGCCCAAATTATTTGCTGGGGATACTAACCAAATGCTGGAAAGAATTTTGTGGCAAAGTTGAAATATCTGAATGTTTTTCGCGATTGTGCTGAAACAGATTTCACTAATATCTGATATTTTCGGGAACGGCGAACTTTTTTTTCTCTCTCGAAAGATGTCGAATTTCGTGGTTTTTTTCCACCACTGAAACGCCATGTATATTTGGAAATATGAATGACGGAAATGGAATAGTTTCACTTAATTACCCATCAATCAAAGGAACATCCTCCAGCAGTTGCTGAATAGCCGTCAGACCTTTGGGAGATTCGCTGCGACCCACAACTGTCAATGGCAGCCCGATGCATAAGCCGATTGCCAATGACACCAGAACCACGAGACCCAAAATGGCCCAATGCATGGGTTTCATGTCTGAGGCGTCCCATGTTTTCAGAGATCCGTCCAATCCAGGATAGAGAATCACTCGCTTATCTTGCCTGGGTGAAGGAAAAAGACCCGGTGAAGCAGTTAAACATTCGTGTCGATTTTTACAATGAATTCAGTGAGTTATTTTTTATGTAATTTAAGGGGGAAAAGCAAGAATTCAGACGCCGTGGAAGTCACGTCGTAAATTGAGCATTCCAAGCTATTTGCACAGAATTTTACTAAAGGTGAACCAATTCCAAACAATTTTTTTTGCGAAGTAGAGCGGTTGAATTTTTTCAAAACACTATAAAGAAAAAATTTTTCCAAAGGTGAAAAAAAAATTTATATATATGTATATATATATATATATATATATATATATATACTGCACCTAAATCGGGTACAGTGGAGTACTTGCACTCTCATATTGCTGTATTTACAGTCCAGAGTTATATATGGTTGATATAGCTCAAAGAGTTTACTGCTTTTTCACGCTGTTCAACATCATTAGTTCAAGTTCCAAAAGATTATTGAATCCATAATTTAAATTTCCGTGCACCTTTAATTAATTGGAAAAAATCGGCATCTGAAAATAAAATTTTTTAAAGCTTATCGTTGCAGGATAAAAATAAGTGCTCAATATTTATTTTATACGTTCCAAAAATTATTCAATCAAAATTTTAAATACAGTTTCACTATATTCTCAGATACACCTATTGCGCCTTTCTGGTGCAGAACTGGCACTAATTTTAGTAACTTTTCAAAATGAAGATGACGTTTTTGAATTTAAAAAAATAATAATCATTTCAACAAAACCAAAAATGTTAGCCAATTTTAATGAATGAAATTCAATCGCAAAGACTTTCATGATTTTTTACTTGAATAATTTCAAGGTACAGTTTCAAAAACACTTGGGCCCGGAATGTTCGAGAAGAAGTTGAAATTTTTTTATGGACGGCCCTGGATATTCTGGAGGATTTTTCGTCTTGCTTGTTGGGTGAACCCGAGGGGGGAAAGGCTAATTTTAATAATTTGAATAAAATCTGGAGAACTTCATAAATTTTTTAATTTTGAAAATTTCAAGATTCAGCATAAAAAAATGCTTGGGACACCGATTTGTTCGAAAACAGGCCAAATTTGTTCGATGGACGGCCCTGGACATTTTCCAGGTTTTTTCGTCTTGCCTGTTGGGTGGACCCGGAGGGGAAGGCTCATTTTAATGATTTTAATAAAAAATCTGGAGAACTTCATCGATTTTTTAATTTTAAAAAATTCAAGAATCAGCATCAGAAAAATGCTTGGACACCAATTTGTTCGAAAACAGGCCAAATTTGTTCGATGGACCGCCCTGGACATTTTTCAGGATTTTTCGTCTTGCCTGTTGGGTGGACCCGGAGGGGTAGGCAAGTCCAAACCGTACCGCGGGTCGAACGGCGTCTGGCCCTCGACACCGACGACAGCAGCAGCAGCTGCAGCTGGCCAGTGCTGGTGACAGCTGCCGGCGACCAGCTTCTGAGCCTCCACGTCGTCCTGGAACTGGATCACTTTGGCGGCGTTGCTGCTGTTGCCGCTGGGGTGGTGTGGGCAAGAATGCCGCCCCATACCACCACCACCTCCACCTCCACCGACACCGACACCAACTCCAATGCCGCCACTGCCCACGACGAGACTTTCATGCACTTGTAGTTGTTGTCCGACTTCCAGCTCGTCCTCGGGAGGACACGAAATCGCGATCTCGGGCGGCGGTGGAAGACCAGCCTGCAAAAACAAAATCGATTCAATCTTTATTTTTTTTTGCCGCAGAAATGGAAGATAAAAATGAGGCGTTCAGTCCACCTGCGTTGTGCCCGCGGAATTTTCATAATTTTGCAGTGAATATATATTTATATATAAGGAATAAGCGCAGTTTCGCGAGGAGCGAGGAAAACTTTCCAGACGGGCTTGGACACGCGAGAAACTTTTCAGAGGCCATCACGGCACGATAACAGCGTCGTTACAGCTTTTTGTGCAATCTGATAAGCAGCTTTTCCTTTGCTGTATCTGACATCTTTCAAACTTGAAATGAGAAGTATTTTCTCATATAGAACCATGCTGGTTATTCATCGCCGAAAAGCCACGGACGAAATTAGCTTGGAGTTTCGTTGAATGTTCATCAGCGTCAGGCTTTTTACTATAGTATATGGAAGGAGGAACTTTCTCAATTTCATCAATGTAAATATTTTCTGCACTAATGGAGCTTCCGCGGGTTTTATGCATCTGATTTAATGCTGATTTCAAATTGTATTCAAGATATCAACTGAAAAAATCTAGATATGTATTCAGACTGCTGCATATTTACTTGGGTTTGTAGCTTTTAAATTACTTTATTTTTAATTTATTTCGATGAACAATTTAATCCAAGGTCATGAAATATTGAATTGCTATTGGGACAAAAACCAAAAATTTATTTTTCATAAGATAATTTCAACTGCAATTGTCTACAAAATTTTGGATTGCAATAACAGACTTCATTTTTACTTTTAATAAATGTATTATGCGGAAGAAATTTTCCCGCGGACCGGCAAGAAACTTCAACGGACCTGGGCCGGTCCGTGGACCACGGGTATCGTCAGTACTAGAACTACTATAGTTAATATTTAAAAATTTCAAAAATTTTACCTGCATGAGAAACAGCTCTTGGAATTGCGGGAACTGTTGAGTCATGCGAATCAGCTCGTAGTTTATACCAGTCGGATCCACGTCGCCGACGTGATTTTCCTGCATCACGTGTTCAGGCTGCTGCTGAGGCTGGTACATGATGCCCTTCCGTGACAACGTGTGTTGATGATGATGCTGATGCGGCTGGCCATTATTCTCCGGCGTGTAAAACGTCACCGTGGCACCTTGTTGCTGTTGATGCTGCTGCTGCTGTAGTTGAAGGTGCTGCTGGTGCTGGGACTGGTCATGCTGTTGTTGATGGAGCCAGGCGTCCTCATCAACAGGGATGTCGTGCGAGTGACGATGACTCTTGGTATGACTGCAATTGCGTGACGACGACTCGGGCCTCAAGCTCAGCTTTTTGTGGTCCTGCGGCTGACTCAGGCTTTTCCGCCTGCAGCTGTGATTCCTGTGCTTGGTGCTGGATGACGAGTGGTGCTGGTGTTCCGGAGACCCGCCACCGCTGCTGCGAATCTGCTCGTTACGTCGGAAAACGAAGCGCCACGTGGAGCTCATCAGTCGACACATTTGTATGTATATAGTCACAGAAACAATTCAGCCTGGATGATACTAATTTTGCACGCCATGTTTTTTTATATATAAAACAAGTAGAATAATAGAGGACCCTTTCTTGACGTTTGCCAGAGGTCCCCGAGTCCCCCGTTCGGAGCAGTCCTGAATTATGTATTTGCTCTCACGACATTCATTAAATTAACGAAGACCGTTCGGCAAACTGCTCTAACGACAACTTTTGCTCTTCTAAAAGTTTCTCTCGCAATTTACATTGAGGGAGCCGTTATATATACAGGATGCTGACAGCGAAACGTAGTTTGAAATCGAAGAAAGAAGTGCTCTCATAGCGTTTGCCAGCATCTTCTCCTCGAAAGGCGATTTCTGGTGTTAAGGATCACATCATAATTTTAATATTTCTAATTTTTTAGTTGATTTCTCTGAACCCCTCATTGCAAGACTTTAGCATAGTTTCATCCCCTCTTTTTCTCCTGCTTGCAATTCTTGTCTTCAATCGCGCTCTTTCTAGATAAACGGCATGCATCTTTAAAAAACATGCGATCACTGCCAGAAATCCTATGGTTTTACAGTACAGTGCCTCAAAAGGAACGTCGTTTATTGCAGTTGAGCCTCGATAATTCGAACCTCCCTATTAAGTAGATTTTTTGAAAGTCCCTGCCTGACTTCCCTTAGAAAAAATGCAATAAAAGCCTCCCTAACAAAGATATTTGCTCTCAAACCTCCGGAACTCAAATTTTCCAAGGCTGACACAAGAAATCGAGAACAATGAAGAAAGGAACTTGATATATTTTGACAGGAATCTAAGGACTAACTTTAAAAAACAAACCCCTGCCTCCAATTTCAGAATGCTGTAATCTTAAGGAATAAGAACCAATTTACAGCCCAGAATATCACCATGTAAAATTTTCTGTAATCCTTCTACGTTTCCCACAACAGAAATGCTTGTTTTCCTATAACTCGAAAGCTCACCAACTCAAAATCTCCCTAAGTCGAAACCTCCTTAA